TTTCAATGTACTCTTTTTCAGGATCAATTTGTTTGCGGTGTTCCCATTCGTTTTGATACCTCGATAAACAGTCAGGACCATGTTTATCTCCTTTTGTATACACAACTTTGAACTTATAACTTGACAAAATTATTGTTCATCTTTCAAGTCTTTGATTTTTGAATTTCAACTTGGGTAACTGGCATAACGCATGATGATCGGTTTCGACAAGAAACTCATCTCCATCCAAGTAATGACGAAACTTTCTGATTGCAATCAGTACACTTAAACATTCCTTTTCACTCACTGAATAGGATTCTTGATGTTTTGCAATTCGTTGAGAAAAGAAATATAAAGGTTTCCAGTGCTTTATATCTTCTATCGGTACTTCACTTAAGGATTGAAATCCTTCAGGAATCGGTTGATTCTCATCAGCTTGAAGTAAAATTCCACCACAGGCAATATCACTTGCGTCAACTGTGATCTTTTTTCTCAACTTAGGATCAAAATGTACTAACAAAGTAGTCTCAATCAATGAATTTTTCAACACGTCTAAAGCTTCTCGATCCTCTTTCATCATTTTAAACTTTCTTTCTTTTGACACTAAACGATACAAAGGTGCAGCTAACTTTGAAAAGTTAGGAATATATCTTGCAAAGTAATTGTAACAACCCAAAATTGATTGTAGTTGTCTCACCGTATTTGGGTAAGGTAAGCGTTTCAACGCTACAACCTTGTCAGGATCTGGTCTGATTCCTTCTCCATTGACTAAATGTCCAAGTAAAACCAATTCTGTGACTCCAAAGCGACATTTATCAGTTTTGACTTTAAGATTCCAATCTCTCAGTCTCTCTAATACCAACTTAGTATTAGTCAATAACTCGTCCCAACTTTTTCCAATTACTGGGATATCGTCAAAATATCCAAGGCACTCAGTGTAATTCAATCCATGTAACACTGCATTAATCAGTCTTTGAAATTCAAATGGTGCACAGGCCAACCCCATCGGTAACCTCTTATATTGGTACTTTCCATCGGGTGTTACGAACACAGTTTTACCTCTTTCTGATGGAGGAATTTCAATTTGGAAATACCCTTGGTATAAGTCAAACATATTGAAAAACTTTGCACCTCTTATTGCCTCCAGACAATCATCGATTCTTGGCATCGGATGATAAATTATTTTAGTCAATCGATTAACAGCACGTAGATCATTAAGTAAACGATACGAACCATCCGGTTTACCTATCAGCATAGCAGGCGAGCCTCCTGGAACATGACTTGCATCCTCAATTATATCATGTTTGAGCAATTCAGAAATTAATTTCTGATACTCGAGTCTTTTCTCTATGGTGCAAGGATAAGGTTTTTGATCAGGGACATTCTCATCCATATTGATTTTAATTGGCCATCTTTGCCAAGGAACTAGTCCAAGATCACCTTTACTTTGACTAAAAACATCAGGAAAAAGCATTAAAATGCTTAACATTTCCTTTCGTTTATCGGTAGTCAATTCAGAATTCATTCTGTTCATTAACCTTTCAGCTAAGGTCAGATCCTTTTGCTCAATCTGCATGTAAACTGGATAGATGTTTTCAAACTCTTTACTTAAGGACAATTCATCGATGAAACTTTGACGTTCAGTCAGTTGTTTTAGTTTATTTTTATCATCGATTGCATTCTGAGAACTTAGTTCTCCATCGTACCAAGGCGAGTTAGGCAATTGTAAAGCATTCAATAGATTTTGAGCTTCTTTCAAGGTATTGATTGGTGTCTCAGGTTTATCAATTAGTAAATCTGACTCCTCAGGAGTACAAAATCTGAACATTAACTCGGGACTAAGCCATTCTTTTCCAACAGCTTCTCTTAGATTTACCTGATAGTAACCTCCATGGTTTACCATTCCAACGTAAAAGACATCAGTAAACCTTGTTCCAAACAACATCCTCGGTTCCAAATCTCTCATGACTTGAAATTTAACAACTTTTGCAGTTTTCATTTTAGCATGTTTCATAATGGCATAGGCAGCACCTTCGACTGGTTGAAAACTACCTCCAATAATTCCTCTTACCGCAATGTTTGATGACAGCACATAAGCTTTTAATTGTTGAGCCAATTCGTAGTCAATGCAAGCAGTACTAGCTCCAGTATCGATGAGTACATCACCAGTTTTAATCGCTTCTCGATCGGGATAACAAAAGTTTAAACGGACAGTAGGAAAATTTCTAACTGTAGCATCAATTCGAGTAATCAATTCAACTGATTCTTCAATAACATTTTCATTTGTCATCCAGACAAAATCATTAACTGGTGCTTTCGGCAACATTTTAGCATTTCGGATGCTTGTTGAAGCTTGTTTTTCTTTGACTAAATTTGCACTTTCTTTGGTCTGTTGACCCTTACCAAATGTTGGTTGATTCGCCATCCTCAATTGTGCAGGTTGAAAGTTACTTTTCTCGGCCTGATTACTTGATTCAGGATTAGGGTTAGAGTTGGATCTTTTCGGCATTCGGCAAACAGTTGACAAATGACCAACTCGATTGCAATTGTAACACCTCACAGGCGGTCTAGAACTACGATAAGAATTGAAATTCTTTCTCGTTTCATCTCGTTTTTCATCACGCTTATCATCACGTTTATCATCACGCTTTTCATCTCGTTTGAAAGACTCCTTTCTTTCATTTTTCCGTTCAGAACGTTTTCTTAATTCAATATAATAGTCATCTACCATTGCAGCCTTTAAAGTTTCAAAACTTTTCGTTGATCTTGATCTGATCAGAGTATCTCGCAATTCAGTAGGAATCCGTAACAAAACATCCTGAATAAATTCAGCTTTCGATGGTTCACCCTTGATCTTGGTAACCATATCTTCTAACTTTTTGAAAAAGTCATTCGGGTGCATATCATAGTTCCATTTTAACGAATGAAACTCGGCTGTTGCCTGAGCAAGACAAGCAGGATTTCTCAATGCACGTTCCAATGCAGCAATATACGACTTACTCGTATGTTTCTCTTGATCTAACTGTTTCGCATACGGCAGAAATTCATAGGCCATAGCCTTTTGCAGGACATATAATTTGTCATCATCATGACATCGTTCAATCATCAGATTGCGTTTAACAGCTTGTAACCATCCCCATGCTTCCATCCCTTGTGTGAAAGTAGGCAAGACTGGTAACTTAGGCTTACATCTCGGATATGAACTGCGTCGGTGAGTTTCTGACTCACTTTCACTTTCAGTGTCAGTGGATTCGCGAATAGTAGACCTTCTACGGTGACTTCGGTCACGTAACTGATTTCTATCAGTTCTATCGTTAACTTCATTATCTGTTTCATTGATATGAGACAGGGTATCTTCATAATCAGAGCCAATCACGTCATCTACATTCACATCAGGCTTGACAAGCACTTTAGATGAGGTACTTGGTTCTCGTTTCCAATTTTTCAGAGCTTCTTGTAATACCCGTTTAGCAGGAGAACCTATGGCCAATCGTTTTACCGATGCTTCAGGCGCTAGCTTCATATGCTTGGGTTTAACACCAACTTGTTTAACTATCTCTCGGATGTCGGACTCAGGAATAGACTCACTTCTGAACTCCTCTACCCACTTTGGTATCTGTATCTCTTCGATATGATCGACTTCAGTCGTTTCCATAATCTCCATTGTTACTTTCGGAAAGTTACTTATAGCAAACAAAGTTTGAACAGCATCAAAAAATTGTTTCTTGATTACCTCGTTGTTATCGATAAACTTGATTCCCCATTTAGTCAGGAAATTTTTCATTTCTTTCACCTCCAAATCTTTCAGTTTAGCAACAGTAGTGTTGAAGCAGTACTCGAACTCATAGGAGGATTCACATGGCAATCCTGCCGAGGTCGCCATTTGAAAGGAAGACATTCCCATACAACACAATAAAGAATTGAAATTCTTAAATCAGGTTACAGAAGATTTACTCAGCCTTTCAAATCCTGAGTTATCAGGTTCTTTTAGGATCACCACGAAATCACAATTTTATAAGTTAGAGTAATTTTAGTTTATTAGTCTTGACTTGCTAAAGGTTCAAATTCAACTGCACTTTGACTAGGATTTCTATCCTTACTCAGAGTCAAACTTGGTGAGTCCAGCGATCAACTTTCACTAGCTTTCCAAAGCTTTGACTAATCTTTAACCAGGATGACCAATAAGACCAGAGGCGACTTGATTAGCTTGGTTAACCACAAGAGAGTAAACAAGCTTAGTCCAACTAGCTATTATCAGCACTCTCTAACCAAAACTCAATGGCAGCAATAATCTTAAGTATTGAAATACTTTTAGAATCGGAGCTTGAAATCAGGCTTGAAGTATTGAAATACTTTGAACTAACACAGGACAACTTTACAGAGTCAGAAGGCAAGGATAGCACTAAAGATACCACAAATCAGGATTACAACAACAGAAACAGGCACAAAGACTAGAATCAAGATTTCTATGTCTATTAGGAATACAGTTGAAACAGGACTAATTAGCAGCATAGACAACACGAAAATACTGAAGTATTTAAATACTTGAATGAGGCACAGATTACCAAATTAAACAAAATTTATTTAAAACAAAAGATGAAATTAAGATGTGTATGGTAAGTAGCAGATACGGCTAGGTCAATATAAGGTTAATTGAGTAGCGAGTATGGCTATGTTCTTAGCATAACATTCATAAATTAACATAACTAAAATGACCAAATTGTCCAGTTATTTATACTTCTAATAACGGAAGGAAATTAGATTTAAATCTAAGGAAAAGGAAAGAAAGCTGCATAGTCTCTATGGACCATATAACTGTGACAACAATATTAAACAAAGGTTTACGTCATTTTAGGGATTAACACAAAATTGAAAAATGAGAACAAAAAGTATTGAAATACTTTTCCCTTACAAAAGCATAATTGAAATTAAATTGAATTAAATTGAAATTAAATGAATATTAAAAGAATTTGATTTTACAAATTGAACTTGGGCAACTCTACCCTTCAACTCATGTCATCGTATTGTAATTATAATTACAACAAATATTAATTACTTAATCCACTCAAAAGCAACAAGCATTCAATGACATTATTATTAGATTATCAATTGATTGACCATAAAAAGACTCATTGGTTAAACTTGAACTTCAATTAATCATTTAAATGATCAACCGTTGACATTTTAATGAACCACAAAAGCAGACTAGTCATGACCAAATGGTGAATTTCCAGGTTTCTCAAAGAAAATGAAGTTAAATGAAAATATCTTTGCATGATGTTCATTTTAAATTTGGAAAATTTCAGGTTAAAAGCTTGAACATGATAAAACAATGAAGTAAGTGCAACTAAAATGAAGTTCAACTCTTGAATCTAGCATATTGTTTCTCATTTGTAGGTTCATCGGTTCTCGATTACCCAAACTGGTTAAGGGGATCTTTTTTGGGTTCATTGGGTTACTCTTGATCTGTCAAATTGTCCATTTATACCAACAATATACTTTACAAGAAGTGAAAGTGGAAACCCTTTACCATCGCAATAGTCCCATTGAGATGCCAAATTTGACCTTTTGCTTCAAATTATTGCATGTGCTTGATATTAAGCTTTTGTTTGAAAAATTTCCAGATATTTTATCAATTGTGAAAAACATTTCAGTGACAAATAAGGATTACACCGGGAGGAGTTATACTGATATAATTGTTGAAAGGGATGAAATCCTGTTCGATCGACTAACAACTTTACAATTTTTCGATACTGTTAAGCCTATTGAGGAACTTTTCAAATTTTGTTTAATTCGAACTGAAAATGTACCTTCAATCAACTGCTCACTTAACTGGTTGAGAAGGATTCATTCAAAAAATTTGTGCTTAACGCTTCGCTCAAACGCCACATTTGACTACAATAACATTGTTTTTGATGGTTACGGTAATTCACCTTTGGCATTTTTCTTAATCGATTTAACACCATTGCCCCTAATTAAGCAAATTTTGGTTGCAGCTCACATTTCAGAGGAATTACCATGGTTTCATCAGATTAGCTTTGCTGAGTTGATAGTAAATGAAGATACAGAATATGGTTATTCATTATCCTTTCACAAACATGTTGATATAAACCTTCCTGGATCCAATCTGAATGGTTGTAATCAGCAGCTTTCAAACAATTTTAAAGATGTGCCAAGTTGTTATGAACACTGCTTAATGGGACAATTTGTTGATCGAGAACAAAAATATCCTCGAGATTTCCTGATTAAATCTGGTGATGATTTCAAGTTGATTGACAATTACTGGGTTAGTCAAAGTTATTACAATTTAACTAGTAAATTGTACAGACAGTGTAAGCAAGTTTGTGGATTGAAAGATTGTGTCGAGATAAATTATATATTAAATAAGCTAAAACCATCCCAGAAATCACAAATTCCTGGTAAAAACATCAAAATTACAATATTGCCATCTAAACTAGTGACTGTAATCAAATCTCGTAAACTAGTTATAACATTTGCCAATTATATTTCATCGGTTGGAGGCTTAATCGGTCTATGGTTTGGATCGTCATTTTATTCACTAATCAAGCTATTGTTACATTTCAGATCAAAATCATTAGAGACTCGAAAAATGTCTAAAATTTCAAAAAAGCCCAAACGCTTATTTCACCACCGAAAAGTGACTCCAGTTGCAACCATAGCATACAAACCAGTCAATATTGAACACATTCCCAGAACCCATTATTTATCTCGAGTTAACTTATTGTAAGTCTTGAGATTGATTACCAATTCAATGTTCAATTTTAAATCAAAAAGGCTTATTAAAGGGCAACTAAGCTATTAGCTTACAGTGCACATTTGTTTAACATTTGGTTTGAGTTACTTGATACTGTTGATACTGTTGATACCAATGATTTACCAGAATTGACTTTGCCAGAAGATCAGTGATTCATTAGTGGTTTTCAATACAACATGAAACTGACACAATTTTCACCATTCAAAGTAATAATTTTGGCGTATTTACAATGTAAGTGAAATACTGTTTCTTGTCCTCGATAAACTATTAATTCCTATTTCATTGTCACTTTTTAGGCCTTTTCTCATCTTCATTGCCTCAACTTGAAGAGGGTAAATTTTTAATCCAAATTTCGGATCAATACAGTGCTCCATTGGTGGTTTCATTTCTTCATGACAGAATCACGATCAATAAACAGATGCTTGAGAAGATCGGAAATTCCCTAACTTTGGATCAACAAAAGAAGGACTATTTTGATTTGTCCGTTCAATGCCTTGAAATTTTGGACAGTCATCTGATCACTCTGCAAAAGGCCAATTATTTTGATTTCAATGGAACCTCTAAAGCAAAATATTTCATTGAACTGTTTAATGTGTACAATGAAATGTATCCAGTCGAGTTGGGATTGAACGGAATGATATTCAATGACATGTCTATTTCAACATACGATTCTTTGAATAAATTTTTAGCCATCAAATCAAATGATCAACTGATCCTTGAAACTCAAAAATTGACCCATTCAGTGAAAAAAGATTTGGACGCCAAACTAAGAAATGAAACATGTAATCGCCTTCAGAGACTGGCGTGTAAATTGGCTATAAGCAAACTTGAATCTTTGACCAACCATTTCACCGTTAAACCAGTTGAATTATATGAACCGTATATTTATAAGTCAGAACCTGTGTACAATTCCAGGGCAGACATCGCCGAGACTCTACATAAAATTAAACTCATGGCTAGACTTTTCCACACATTGTACTCCAGCCTCGGAAGACCAGGTACTTCAACCAACGAACCTTATATTGAATTTCCGAGTACAACTCCATTATATTACACTTCCACAAACATTCCCACAAATATTCCCATAAGCATTCCCAGAAAGAATCCCACAAAGAATTCCACAAAGATGCCCACAATGCCAACCATGGGATCAGGCTTTGTGCCAATGTACGATGATGCATATTAAAGCCAGTACATCGATTTATTGTTTGCATGAAAATCAAAACAATTAAATGATTTTCACTATTTTAATCTACTATTTAAAATGAATACACAAAAATCGTATCAACCTTTACTTGTTGTTAAAGTTGGACCAGATTAAAATTTTTCATTCATCGATCAATATTTAAAGTAGAAATGTTGAATGACTGAAACTTTCATCTTTTGCTTATCTACAGAAATAAAGTCAAATTGATTGAACTATTTTATTTTATTCCTTAAAGAACAGATTATTATGACCTCAACCTAAACACTCATAGAAATTCAACTTTCGATAGTTCCGATTCGGCGTCATTAAGTTCTGTAATTGAAATTGAGATCGAATTTAATAAGAAAAATCGAAACAGTGTTTCTTTCTAGCATCTAGCATCAGCAAAGATTTGGTTGTTCAGATCATTGTGAGTTCTTTATTGAATGAGTTAATGAATAAGATGAAATGCTTTTACAAGTTATCTTATCTTGAAATTAATTCGTATTTTAATTGAAATTCTGTGTTTTTACTTTTTTTCAACTTCTTTTCTACTCCACAACAAGATTACCATCGTATTTACTGTCAGAAATATTTGATTAGCTCTGTGTATAAATATAGAATCTGGTTGATTCCAAGACACTGGTCATTTTAAATTGTTACATTTGAATGATAGTGTTTCAAGTGCAATAACAACTTAACAAAATATGGAATCGTTACGTTTTTTAGTGACTATCATAACATTCAGCTTATTACGTGAGTATAATAAATAAAGATTTTACAACCTTATACACAGTTAACCTTTAAAAAACCAAATGTTTATTTTCTGGTATTTTAGATCAATGCTTAGCCAGACCAGATTCATTGGAAGATGGTGTTTTGCTTCGAAATCTTGCTGATAGTTACAGTGCTCCATTGGTTGCGTCCTTTTTACATCTAAGAATACAAAACACTATTCAAATAGTTGAAGACATCAAGAATTCGCTGGAAAATTTAAGTGCAAGTCGACAAAAATTGCTCGTTTTGAAGGGAAAAAGTCTCGAAGCCTTGGACAAGCAACTAACTTCATTGCAAAAAACAGATTATTTTAACTTCCATGGAACTGAACGAGTCAAGTATTTAATTGAACAGTACATCTTGAATAACGAAATATTTCCGATTGAGTTTGGATCGGAAGAGACGAATTTCAAAGCGACTCCAGACAATTTACTTGAGCAGATCAATGTTACGTCCAATGATGATCTTATCAAGAGTACAAATGATCTAATAAGCGTTTATCTTGAAGATATTGAAGAGAAGGAGTCAAATGAAAAATATAATGAACTTCAAAGATTGACTGCTTCTCTAACTAAGCATAAACTGAAGCCTTTAGTCAACTTTAATTATACTGAGCCAACGGCAAAATATGATCATTATAGAAATTACATCATGCTTGATAACCGTGCGCTTCAAATTCAATTTGTTCTGCGACAGTTCAAAAATATCATCGATCTTTTTTATCCTCAATTTGAAAATCTGGCGACTCAAAGTGCACCAGCATCTTCATTGGAACCAGTTACTTCCAAAGTCAAGGGTTCAGTTGAAGCCAAGGATATGCCAACATCATACGATACCACCGAAAGTTTACTTTTAGCTTGATATGATAGTTATCAATCTTCTCATTCATTAATTTAGTAAAAGCTCTTTTACTGGGATTTAAATATTCTTATTCTGACCGATTAACCGGAAGGTTTTCTATTAAGTCAGTTTCGAAGCTATGTAGCTATCAATAAATCAAAAGTTGATTGAAAATCATTCAGTTACTCAAATTTATTTCAATACCGAGTAGATAACGAAAATCATATTTTGTAAAAGTCGCGAAAGTTAATGCTAAGGATGCAAGTAAAAAATCATCTTCTGTTATTTCGATGATCAGAGTGATAAGGAAAATAATCTAAAATAATGAAATAAAACAAATTGATTTGAATAAAAACACAATGTTATTTTATTTAGTAAGATTCAATAGATGTCAAGCTTTTAAGAAAATGAATAAGAAACGAATTAACCACTTCATGAATCTTGGGATAAGCTGTTTTCATGTTTACTTCTTGCCGCCACCTCGGCTGCTATGATAGGCCTGGTTGTTGGGGTTTCCCTGGTTAGCATGATTACCAAGATCACTCTTGGTTCCAGTCCCTTGGTAGGCTATAATTGAAGTTAATAATTGAATGACAACGAATAGTAATAATGTTAAGTTGACTTACCAGCATTGTGGCCTGGGCCACTTGGGGCATGAGATGGATTACACTGGTTGGTTCGATTATCACGGTCCATGTTCAGTTAGTAGGTTCAACAATGATTGAATGCAACAAAATAAAGAAATTTACTTTTAACTGTTTCTCAAGTGAAGTTGTCGATTTATGATACAATAAATGGCTTAGATTTGACTTTAAATAGGAAATCGATCGATGCTCATTCATTGGGAGCTGATTGAAAATGATGTCTAATGGTTTCAGATGATGTAAATAAACATAAATATGATTCTTTTACAATGAAACTTTCCCAAGAATAGAATTACTTGATTTAGTTGAAACACTGAGAAGTTATTAGACTTTGACTCGTAGACAAAACTCGTGTTTAACTCCTTACTTCAGGATGTTTTGATTCAAATATAATTAACCCTTCTTTCTAGTCAACAAAGAAATTGAATTACTAATTACTTGTTTGTTGTGATCGAACATAAAAAAGCATCGTTAAATATCCATCAATCGTGGCTTGTTAATTGAAACCATTATATCAATTTCGAGAGTTCAAAAGGCCGATTAACTACTTACAGATAAAAATTTTTTGTTGAACTGTCAGATTGGCAGTTGCATTGATTAAGACAATCTTGCATCTTTATCCAACTTATTTCAACGTTAAACCAGAAGCTGTTTTCAATGCCAGGCCAGATATTGTCGAGACTTAATGCATTGAAATTCGTAATATATTATTATGACCTCAAATATCTATTCATAAAATTATAACTTCTAGTAGCTCCAAATTGCACGCTATATAATAATTGAGTTCTGTAACTATTGCAGAACTAACTAATAAAATCGACATCAATATTGGAATGTAATAGCAATTCAATTTAAAAAATTTTTCTTTGCATCCTTTTATCAAATATATCTTGATCAAGTTGAAACTTCTTTAACTGAATTGATTAATAAGCAAAATTTTGCAAATTAAGATTGACAATCGAATTACAATTGAAAATTGCACTTAAACCAATAGCTTATCTTAAAATCAATTGTCTCTTCAATTTAATTTTGTGTTTTACTCTTTTCCGACTTTTTTCCATTTGAAGTTTATCTTCAAATTTATTGCCAGAAATATTTAATTAGCTCTATGTATAAATATAAATCTGGTTCATTCCATTCTTCTGTTTATTTCAAATTGTTTTATTTTAATGACAGTGTTTCAGCCACAATTACAGCTTTAAAAAATATGGAGTCGTTGCGTTTTTTAGTGACTATCATAACATTTAGTTTATTACGTGAGTAAATCAACATCTAACTGAATATTCAATGATGAAACATCACAAAATGAATTGCTTTTTCAGATTTGCTTCTAATATCGTCTGCGCCTTTGGATGAAGAGAAGTTACTTCGACAAATTGCTACTCAATACAGCGCTTCAATGGCCGTGTCATTTCTGCATTCTAGGATTGAAAGCAATGAACGATTGGTCGAGAAAATTGTCAGTGAATTGGGCAAAAATTTGGACCAATCGAAACGTGATTCATACACTTTGATAGAGAAAAGTTTCGAGGCTTTGGATAAGCAATTGATGGGATTACAGCATGCTGGTTACTTTGAGTTGGATGGAACTGAAAAGGTGGAATATTTCATTGAACAATTTACAATGTTGAGCCAATTGTATCCAATCAAAGTGAAGTCCAGTGAATTTGACAAATTCAATTCAACTCCTGATGATTTGTTGGAATTTTTTTCAGTCAAAGGCACGGATCAAGTGATCATAGAAACTCAACAACTTATTGATGTTTTCATAAAAGTAATGGAAGAGAAAGAATCAAGTTCAGAAAATAATGAACTACAAAAGCTAGTTGCTACTGTAACTAAAAGCAAACTTCAATTTTTGGCTAATTTCAAGTACAGTGAACGCAAGCAAAATCATTTCGGACACGATACATATCCATATTTTATGTATAACAATGCATCTGATTATTTTAGCAGCGGAATCGATCATCGTACACTTGAAGTTGAAAAGGTTTTGCGACAGTTAAAGATGGTTTTGGACCTTTTCTATGCTCAATTCGAGTATCTCCGAAATTGATGCTGAATAGTGCAGTAACACTGGAAAATCAAAAGATTATCTTATAATAAAGAGTCGATTTTTCATAATCTCTCTGATTTAATCAATCAACAATGATTTCAGAACCGCTCATCAAAGACGCATTATTTAATATTATGAGGGAACCGTCAAAAGTTCAAAATCGATATTTAGATTTTATTGCTCGCAATCAGTACATTAGACCTTAGTGAAAACTAATATAACGAAATTAGCTTCCAACTTTTCGATTTAGGCCGTACCGATTTGTACCAATAGCAACCAATAAAATATAAACATCGATTTTAAACTTCAGACGGTTCCCTCGTTTTTTATGCGAAACAGTCTCAACACTTTTCATGCTATAAAAAACTTAAATCACTCAATATCACTGGCGTTACCACCATTGAGGTGACGAACAGCACTTTCATTCGCTGTTCAAATGTCTTAATGCATAGTGGACAAGAGAAAGAGCCTAAGAGAAAATACCTCGAAAGTGACGAAAGGCAAAAGTATATTGCGACGCCTTTGTCCATTTAAGGCCATAACTTGACAATTCTTGATCAAAATTGATTTAATTTTGTACATGTGCTTGAGAAGTGCATCTCTATTTCAACGGTTAGGTTGTGTATGTGAGTATAGTCTAACTGACGCAATTCAATTCTGGAAAATTATTCTTAAACTTTACCGGTCATACCTAGTCTACCGGTTTATAGCGTGCATACATTAAAAACATACTTGTTGCTATTTGCAATTCAAGTTTAAAATCAAAAGATCTAATTAGCAATATGTTGATGCTGTGTTGATTCACGATATAATTTAATTGGTTATTTATTAAGTTACTAATTCAGTCAATAATAAGTATCAATTTAAGCAACAGCAGCAAAATCAAAACAAAAATATACCTTTCTCTTTAAAGATAAGTTGTTAATCATGATTCATGATTATGGAAACTGTATAATAGTTTTGTTCAAGAAAAGGTAATAATTGATTAAGATTATAACTCAAACTTTTGTCTCAATTTCTTCCCATTCTTTGTCAGCACTCTGCACCGTAAGATTGAATAAAGTTATTGATTACTTTGTGATTATCATTCATTAATAGAGAAGGAAAAGATGATGGCTTGAAGACGCAAAATTATCCTCTCAAGACAAATCATTATCTGACCAAAAAATCTCTCAAAAGCCACTTCTTGTCATAACCACAAATATACGCACTTAAACGTCCCTCTTTCAATGAAAAGAAGACAAGAAGAAAGCAAAAAAGGATTGATATACTTTCTTTTCCCCGTAATCCGCCTTTCCTTTTGATATCTTTATTGAGATGATCTTGAAGCCCATAAACAGCAGATATGACATTTTGACTCTTGATTGTGGCGATTGACTTGATTGTTTCATCAGTTTAATTTTCACCTTCACACGGGCAAGATGTTGCCCAAAGAAACAAAAGATTGTTATAATAATGCTAAATCATGCCCATTATTAACACCTTTTTCATCCTCTTCGTCCACCAAATGTTCAATCAAATCAAAAAGGAAATACCATGATTTTACTAACTATTCACTAATTGTTATCTCTTTGATTTTACTGTCAACCCTTGACACTGTTTCCAGTTTAACATGTGAAGTTAATCAATATCTTTGTGCTGATGGAAACCAATGTATTATTGAAACCTATCTTTGTGATAATGACAAGGATTGCGAGGATGGATCAGACGAGACACGATGTTGTATGTTTTAACTTTTAATCCCAATCTTTTCGTTAATTGTTGATTGAACTCAATTTTATAACTTTTCTTTCTTCAAGCACCTCCGAGTCTCGTTGATGCCGATTTCGGTGATCGATTCCTGAGAGAAGGTGAAGATTTATCGTTATCTTGTCAAGCTGTTGGATTTCCAACTCCACTTATTCGTTGGAAATTTAATGATCATATTATCACTTCACATAATTCACGTTATCGTAATACAAGTATCAATGGTCATGGTAAACTATCCATTACTGGAGTCCGTAAAGAAGATGAAGGAACCTATGAATGTGTCGCTGAAAATGCCAACAATTATATTTCTTCAAATTCAGTTGTTAAATTGCGAGTTAGAAGTATGTAACATTCATTTAAATTTTTTTATCTATTTTATCGTTTTATTAACAAATTCCTTCAAAGCAGAAAGAGAAAGATTCCATGAAAGCAAAAGGGTCAAAGATCATTCACAATACAGAGGTTTGTCACAATTTAAGTATACTTTTATGCACTCATTGCATTGATTGTGTATTGTATAGATGTATAGATTATGTTTAACTAAATATAATGAATTAGAGTTAGAAAAGCAAGTAATTGATTTTTTCTGGTGTTTCAGATCCATTAACCAGATCAGCTCCATCTGAAGATGCCGTTTTACTTCGACAAATTACTAATAACTACAGTGCTCCATTGGTTGCGTCGTTTTTACATTCAAGAATCCAGAAGACAATTCAAATGGTCAGAGACATCAAGAATTCGCTGAATGATTTAAGTCAAGATCAACGAAGTTTCTTTAATTTGAAAGTAAAAAGTCTTGAAGCGCTGGACAAACAACTAACTTCATTGCAAAAAATAAATTATTTTAACTTCGATGGAACCGAACGAATTCAGTATTTAATTGAACAATACATTATGAATAACGAAATACTTCCAATTGAGTCGGCACTCAAAGAGGTGAAATTCAATTCAACTCTAGACGATTTGCTACAACAGGTCAATGTTACGTCAAATGATATTCTTATCAAGTATACAAATGATCTTATAAAAGTTTTTCTTCAAGATATTGAAGAGAGGGAAGTAAATAAAAAATATAATGAACTTCAAAGATTTGCTGCTTTCCTAACTAAACGTAAACTAGAGCCTTTGATCAACCTTCAATATTGGCCAGCGGACCACCTGGGTCATGATGGACAGTTTATCGGCACCATTGATAACCGTGGCTCTCAAATTGAATTTGTTTTGCATCAGTTAAAAGACACTTTGGACCTTTTTTATACTCAATTTGAGAATCTGGCGACTCAAAGGACACCATCATCTTCATTGGAATCAGTCACTTCCAAAGTCAAAGGTACAGCCTTAGTCACGAATGACACTGATAATTACTTGATGCCTTTGTCTATTGATTGATATCCATTTAATTTTCTTGTTAAAGTTTTGAAGCAATGTAAAATCAATAAATGAAAACTTAATTGAAAATCAAGTCACTCCAAAATTGATCTAATAATCAATTGATTTATAAAAGTATTTCATATTTTTTAAAAGTTGCAAGAGTTGCGAAAATATGTGACATGAGTCAAAATTTTTATTCACATCGATACTAAACCAGCCCGTATCGATCATTGTATCTGACTCCAGTAAAGGCATAGATTTCAGGCAAAGTATTATTAGTTGAGTAGATTGAATATGAGTCATTATATGACCTATTGGTTATCTCGAGTATATCGGGTGATATTCAAGCTATAAAAAGCTATAAATTGATCTTTAAATCTTCATTCATTGTGGCTTATTAATAATTGAAATCTTTCAATATGTTGGTAGAGTTCGAAAGGCTGATTAATTCTGACTGTGGTTCGTATAACAATTCAGAAGCTGTGCACAATGCAGGGTCAGACGAGAGATCATTGTGAGTTCTTTATGTTCGGACAAAATCGCAAGATAACTTGATCAATCTGTCTAAGTTGATTATCTATTGTATATTCGATAGTGATCTTTCCTATGAGCAATTATTCGATCAAATAGATATTAAAATTAAAAAAAATTACGTCAAAACGTATTTTCTTCTGTTCTGTTTGATTGTTCTCATTGATTCTTTCAAATTATAATTTTTATTTCTTCAAATCGTAAATCATTGGAAAGAGTGTTTAAATTGAGCATTGGATGATAAACTCAGAGACATTGAAAAAGTAATCTTCTAAGAATAAAATTATGTTTCGACTGAATCAAGCTAAAATTTTAATCTTTAAGCAAAAGCGTCTCTCCTGGCTGATATGCGAAAGAGAAGGAAGTTTACTTTGCTCATGCTATAAAAGCACGCTCTCTTTTTCGTTTTTTCGTATTCTTTCGAATTATAGTTTGCGTTCCATTCAAAGCACCTCATTTAAAAGAGCATTGGAAACTGTACATCAGTAGAGCAAACTTAGAGAGATTGATCAAGTAATCTTGCGATGATGTTCAGATCAACCTAACATATCTTGACTATCTATTGAAATTTCATTAACTGAATTGATCAATAAGCTGAAATGCTTTTACAAATTATCTCATCTTGAAATTAAGTGTCTTTTTAATTGAATTCCTGTGTTTCAACTCTTTTTCGACTTCTTTCTACTCCACAACAAGATTATCATCTGAAAGGCTTTCAGACACATTTGATTAACTCTATGTATAAATATGTAAGCTAGTTCATTCCAAGTTTCTGTTCGTTTTTAATTGTTAATTTATATATTGTGTTTGAGTTACAATGTCAACTTTAAAAAGTATGGAGTCGTTGCGTTTTTTAGTGACTATCATAACATTCAGTTTATTAAGTGAGTAAATCAACATTTAACTTAATATTTGATATTGAACTAATAGATATCATACAGTTAACACGAATAAAAACAAAAAAAACTAATATTTTCTGGTGTTTCAGGTCAATGCTTAGCCAAACCAGTTTCATTAGAAGATGGTGTTTTACTTCGACAAATTGCTGATAGTTACAGTGCTCCATTGGTTGTGCCTTTTTTACATTCAAGAATACAAAATAATGCTCAAATGATTAGAGAAATCAAGAATTCGTTGGAAAATTTGAGTGAAAATCAACGAAATTTGTTTACTTTGAAAGTAAAAAGTCTTGAAGCGTTGGACAAACAACTAACTTCATTACAAAAAACAGATTATTTTAACTTCGATGGAACCGCACGAGTTAAGAATTTGATTGAACAATACATTTTGAACAATGAAATGTTTCCAATCGAGTTGGGATTCGAAGAGGCAAAAGGCAACTCAACTCCAGACGATTTGCTGAAACAGGTCAATGTCATGTCCAATGATAATCTTATTAAGGATACAAATGTTCTTATAAACGTTTATCTTGAAGATATTGAAGAGAAGGAATCGAATGAAAAATATAATGAACTTCAAAGATTGGCTGCTTCGCTAGCCAAACACAAGCTAAAGACCTTAGTTAACTTTAAATATACTGAGCCAACGGAGCAACGTGATCATTATGGAAATTATCTTGGCATGACTGATAACCGTGCACCTCAAATAGAATCTGTTTTGCGACAGTTAAAAAACATTTTGGATATTTTTTATCCGCAATTTGAGAATCTCGCAACGCGAAGCGCACCACTGAAACCATCTTCATTGAAACCTGTTGTTGTATATCCAGCTAAAGTCATAGAAGCGCCTATGCCTGACCAACCCGATTTCGCTCTACCAGAAGATTGATTTAGTTGTCAAACTTGTTTTTATTTCATTTTAGTTGATTTGTGTTTCGTAAAAATGCTAATCTACTGAGACTTACGTGATCTTATTCCGTTTGATTAGCAAAGCAAACTGAAGGTTGGAAAAATAAAAACTTACAAGGGATGCATGGTAGGTGATACGAAGATTTTGAACTTTTTTTGGGCTTAAAATATTCTAATGGGTCAGATATGACCCTTTGTCAAGCCTTTCGTTTCGGAAATTCTCCGTTTCAAAGTTACAGGGTGTCAAAGTTTCAACTTTTGCATAGTTTAACACTATTGAAAGCAATATGGATTTGTTAAAAAACATATTTTACCATTTTATCATAGATCGACATTACTGGCATTAAGCATATTAAGCATATTAACCTACGTAAAATCAACTTTGACACCCTGTAACTTCGAAACGGAGAATTTCCGAAACGAAAGGCTTGACAAAGGGTCATATCTGACCCATTAGAATATTTTAAGCCCAAAAAAAGTTCAAAATCTTCGTATCACCTACCATGCATCCCTTGTTAGTTGAAAATCAACAGTCAACATCATACGACCAGCATTACATGCCGTTAAGCAGAAGAGAGAGCATTTCAAGTTAAAGTCGAAAATATATTTGTGTTCAATTAAAATTTAATGAGAAAAACAATCTAAAATAATGAAATAAAACGAATCATTTTCAATTTCAATTTTATTAAATTAGATCAAAAGATGCCAAGCAATAAAGCAAATGAATTAGAAAGATTTTTTCAATATTGGAATAAGTTTATGAAAATGTTCACTTTTTATTGCCAGCTCGACTATTGGAGAAGGCAGCATTGTTTGGATTCATTCGGTTTGCTTGATTACCAAGATCACTCTTGGTTCCAGTCCCTTGGTAGGCTATAATTGAAGTTAATAATTAAATGACAACAAATTGTAATAATGTTAAATTAACTCACCAGCATTGTGGCCTGGAAAACTTTAGGTGTGTGTTGGGTTGCACTGGTTCGTTCGGTTTGAAGGGTCCAGTCCCTGCGTAGCCTGTAATTGAAGTTAATAATCAGATAACGAGTAATAATTATGACAAGTTTACTCACGCTCATTTTGGCCTGGGCCATTTGGACTATGAGTGGGATTACGCTGATTTGTTTGGCTTCCTCGATCCATTTGAATATCAAGTTGAACAATGATTGAATGCAACAAAATAAAGAAATAAACTTTTAACTGTTTCTCAAGTGACGTTGACGATGTATGTTACAATGAATGGTTCAGAATTGTCTTTAAATAGGAAAATTCATGGAAGATTTTGCATTAAGAGTTTCAATTCAATGTTTTGATGTTGATAAACACAAATATAATTGTTTTACAAGCAAAACTTTCCCTAAAATAGAATCAACTGATTTAGTTAATCCACTAAGCAATTATCAGACTTTGTGTCGAAGGCGAGGCCCTCGTGTTTATCTCCTGACTTCAGGATGTTGCGATTCAAATATAAGTAACCTTTCCTTCAAGTCAACAAAGGAATTAAGTTACTTGTTTTGTAATACAATTCATAACTTCATGAGTTATAAAACGATTAAGATTTTTGCAAACGTTGTTAATTAAGTGTTAAGAGCATTAATATTGCCTTTGTTGTTCACTGAAATCGTTAAATCTGTTTGGAGTTCGAGAAGCTGGTCAATTACATGTTATCTCATTTTGTCCATTGCTATTAAAGGTTTAACTAAAAGTAAACGAACGAATTGTAAGATTTTTAGTCGATTTCCCCTACAGCAAAGGCAATTACCATCACATCATGTAACAATGCATCCAATTATTTTGTAACAAGAGTCAATCATTGTACGCTTGCAATCGAAAAGGTTCGACAAGCAAAGACAATTTCGGACCTTTTGAACACTCAATATAAGTACGAAATTGTTGCCGAATAATGCATTAAATCTTGGGATGCAATAGATTATGATGAGGAAGAGAGTACCAATTTTCCATGTTCTCTGATTTTTCAATGTAATCAACGATTATTCCAAAATTGTTTACATATAAAAACGTCTCGATTACTTTATATATCAACGTGTCAGCATAATATAATCTTAGCATAATAAACGCTTTCTCATGCGAAACAGTCTCACCACTTTTCACATCTTTAGTTTTCAGGATAAGTGTTAAAATTTAAGATTCACTCATTTGATTGTTTTTTGCCACTCGTCAGCATTTAATCAATGGTCATGAAGTGTTTCGATTGTATCAATATTGCTCGACTTGTTACTCTTATGGAACGGTTGAAATGGACTGATTTTAAGGTTTTCTAGGTTTATTTGAATGATTATTTCTCCAAAACTTAAATCACTTAAAATTATTTGCTAGGGCTGAACATTGAATGAACAAAACGATTTCATGAGCGTTTTTCATTCCAATAAAATGATATTTTGTTTTGTAAATAAAGTTGTACTAAAATGAAATAACAAGCATTTATTATGCTTACTGTTAAATTATTTTTGATCTTTAAATCTTACTTGACGAAAAGCACTTGAAATTGTTACTTTTATTAAAGACATCAATTTTATTGAATACATCATTTGAACTTGTTCTTGCATTGAATCTATTACTTCAACTATTAATTTGCAATTAAATCCAAAAGAAACATGAACAGGATTTTATTAAATTGTTTTCTTCTAATTTGTTTACTCAGTAAGTATTATCCTTAAAATAATGATTAAGAGTTTTAAAAAGCAAATAATTGATGTTTTCTTGTGTTTCAGGTCCATTAACCAGATCAGCTCCATTAGAAGATGGTTTTTTACTTCGACAACTTGCTAGTGGCTACACTGCTCCATTGGTTGCGTCGTTTTTGCATTTAAGATTACAAAATGCGATTAAAAGTGTTGAAGACATCAAGAATTCCGTGGAAAATTTAAGTGAAAGTCACCAGAATTTGCTAACATTGAAGCTAAAAAGTCTTGAAGCTTTGGACAAACAGCTAACTTCATTACAAAAGGCAGATTATTTTCAATCAGATGGAACCGAACAAGTTAAGAAGTTGATTGAACAATACATGTTGAATAATGTAATGATTCCAATTGAGTTCGGACCCGACAAGACGCAATTCAAGGTAACTCCAGATGATTTGCTCAAAAAGCTAGGTATGGTGTCCAACGATAATCTCATCAGAGAAACAAATGATCTTGTTAACGTTTATTTGAAAGACATTGAAGAGAAGGAATCGAATGAAAAATATAATGAACTTCAAAGACTGTTTGCTTCGTTAACTAAACGTCAACTAGAGCCCTTGGTCAACTTTCAATATTCTTGGCCAACGGACACACTGGATCAGGATGGGCATTATTTGGAGACTCGCGATTACCGTGGACCTCAAATCGAATCTGTTTTGAGTCAGTTAAAAATCTTTTTGGATTATTTCTATTCTCAATTTGAGAATCTCAAAACTCTAAGAGTGCAATCATCTTCATGGGAACGTCCCATAAAAGTCAAAAGTTATCCCTCTGGAGAAAGATATATTTAGATGCCAGTCTTTTTTTGCTCATTTATTAATTGATTTTATTCCGATTAACAGCTAATCTACTGAAACTTAAGTGATCTTATTCTGTTTGATGAGCAAAAACTTGAAGGTTTTCTGGTTAATTCAGTTTCAAAGTTATGTAAGCTCAATAAAATTTGGTGGAAAATCGTCATTACTTGCATTTATTTCATTATCGAGTAATTTTTAACAAAGAATCATATTTTAAGAAGACGCTAAGGATGCAAGTAAAAATAGTCTTATGATATTTCAATAATCAAAAAATGATTTAATGAGAGAAATAATAGAAAATAATGAAACAAAGCAAAATGCTTTCAATTTAAAAAACTCAAAGTTATTTTATTCAATAAGATTCAAAAATGTCAAGCTTTAAAGAAAATGAATAAGAAACGAATTAACCACTTTATGAATCTTGGGATAAGCTGATGATCGTGTTCACTTCTTGTTACCACCTCGGCTGCTGTGAAAAGCTGGATTGTTTGGATTACCCTGGTTTGCATGGTTTCCAAGATCACTCTTGGTTCCAGTCCCAGCGTAACCTGGCATTTAATTATTGGTTAATGATTGAATGACAACAAATAGTAATAATGTCAAGTTTACTCACCTGCATTGTGGCCTGGGCCACTTGGGGTATGAGAGGGATTACATTGGTTGGTTCGGTTTCCACGATCCATTTTATTCAGTTAGTAGGTTCAACAATGATTGAATGCAACAAAATAAAGAAATAAACTTTTAACTGTTTCTCAAGTGAAGTTGTCGATGTATGATACAATGAATGGTTTAGATTTGACTTTAAATAGGAAGCTTGCTTTATGCTCATTCATTGGGAGTTGATTGAGAATGATATCTAATGGTTAAAATGATGTAAATTAACATAAATATGATACTTGATGATGAAGCTTTTCCGAGAATAGAATTAATTGATTTAGTTGAGCTGCTGAGAAGTTATTAGACTTTGCCTCGTAGACGAAACTCGTGCTTGTCTCATGACTTCCAGATGTTGTTGATGAAAAAATAACTAATCCTTTCTTCAAGTCAACAAACGAATTAAATTACTTATTTTCGTTATTCAATATATAAACATCGTTAGATATCCATTAATCGTGGTTAATTGTTGTTGATTGAAACCATTCAATCAGTTTGGAGAGATCAATAGGCTGATTGCCTGGAAAGCACTTGCTAATGGATCCTTTATTTCTATTGTTATTATAAGCGATCTAGATAAAAACTTCTTCTACATCAATCGAAGTCAAAGAAAAGCCAGTACAAACAGAGTAGCCTGTTCTATTGCCCATTTCTGGTTGATAAGCAAATTAGCTCGCATTTCATCTCATTAAAGTTAACTAGATTTTTATTCTTGGTAACCCAATAATATAATAATTGGAGATCATGTAATATGCGTTTCTAATTTGATTTGATTCCGAGCGATTTAAGATTAATCTTCACGATATGTTTTATTTATATTGATGCAATAATGTTAAATCTCTCTGTTTTAAAACTCGAAACCTTTCTGTTGATCGTATCTCGTATCATTTTCAGTTCAATCAATCTTCTTTCTTCTCGTTGACTTGTTTGTGGATCAATAAGATTGAACCGTAATCAAATCACTTGGGCTTAAATGATCTTATTCTGGTTTAGAAATAAATTAGCTATATTTTTTCTCATCAAAGTTATGCAGAATTGCAAACTTCTCGCAAACTCATTACTGGATACTAATTTGATCAGAGCTACGAGCAATTTAAACGAAGTTTTATTTTGTATAAGTCGCGAGAGTTGGTTCTGAAGGTGCAAGTAAAAAATCGTCTTCTGGTGTTTCAATAATTAGCGTAATGATTTAATGAGAAAACAAAATGAAATAATGAAATCAAACAAATTATTTTCAATTTAGGTTCAATTTTATTCTGTAAAGACTCAATAGATGTAAAGCTTTAAAGAAAATGCATAAGAAAAAAATCGCTCGTTGTATCTTCGAATAAGCTCATGGTCCTTTTTTGTTTCCATCTCGACTACTAGCATAAGCAGGATTGTTGGGGTTCATTTGGTTTGCATGATTGCCCATATCAGTTTTGGTTCCCATCCCTTGGTAGCCTGAAATTGAAGTTAATCATTAAAAAACAAAAATGGTAATAATGTTAAGTTGGCTTACCTGCATTATGGCCTGGGCCACTTGGGGTGTGTGTTGGGTTGCACTGGTTGGTTCTGTTTGAAGGATCCATTATAATTAAGTACCAAGTTAAACAATGATTGAATTAAGCAGAACAAAGAATTAAATTTTAACTGTTGTTGATTTGAAGTCTATCGATGTATGATACAAAGTTTGGTTCAGACATGTCTTTAAATAGGAAATCTAGTGCTTATGGATGATGTACGTGAGTGTACAATGTTTTGATGAGGATAAACACAAATATGATTCTTTACAATCGAAACTTTTCCAAAAATAGAATTAATTGATTCAGTTAAGCCAGTGTAAAGTTTTTGGACTTTGACTCGTAGACGAAACTCGTGTTAATCTCCTGACTTCGGGATGTTTTTATAAAAGTATAATTAACCCTTCAAGTCAACAGAGACAAATAATTAACTTGTTTTTGTTGTAATTCAAAACATAACTTCATGATAAAACGATTGAGATCTACAAAAACATCGTTAACTTATTGTAAACACCATTAATTTGGGCTTATTGTTGATTGAAATCATTCAATCAGTTTGGAGTTCAAAAGGTTGATCAACATGTTTAATCATTGTTTATTTCTATTGCTATTGAAAGTTTAGACCAGTTTTTAAAACAAATGGATAACTATCATTGTATCAGATTCAAGCATAAGCAGCATAAAGAAGCATAGATTTCGGTCAAAGTAGCTGGAATCAACAGTTGAAAATCCCTTCAGATTCGATGTTTTTATTGAAATAATCATTAGGATATACTGCGTTATAAATAGCTCCTATAAGAATTGGTTCGTTGATCAAATGATCTTTGTTATTGTAAATCAAAAATGTAGATTCAATCTCGTGGTCCCCCATTTGGATCAATCGAAAGTTGATGTCTTCGATTTGGCTGAAAAGACACTTGAATTATTGGATGAACAGTTAACCGCTCTGGAGAAGGCTGATTACTTTGATTTCAATGGAACTGAAAAAGTAAAGTATTTCATTGAACAATTCATCATGCAAAACGAAATGTATCCAATTGAGTTTGGCTCATATGGAGCAGTTAAGGTTGCTGTTACTCCTGATGCTTTGTTGGAAGATCTCCTATTGAAAACGAGCGATGTATTGATCAGTTCGACTAATACAATGACACAAACATACTTGACCGATATCGATGAAAAAGAGCGAAATTTCAGTAGCAATCGAATGCAGAAACTGGCTGCTTTCTTGGCTATACGAGAGCTAAAGCTATTAAGCAATTACAAGTATCCCCCATCTAATAACTACGCTTACGATAATGCTGAAGATCCTCGTAAAATTGCACTTGGTGCAGTGCTTAGAAAAGTAAAGACAATTGTTGACTTCTTTTATGCTCAGTTCAACTATTTGTCTCATCCAAAGTTACCAAAACTTCCAAAATGAGTGTAATTCAGCTAACGAAAGACAAGAAGACCCATCTTACTCATCGATACCTGCGACTGCGATACAATGCAATTGAAAACAAAATCTAACGATAACTAAAAGATTGATGGTGAAGGGAAATCGTTTTCTTCGTCAAGATTATTTTTCACTTTTTTCGTTTGCAATGAAAAAAAAACAATTTAATTGAATAAAATAAAATAAGTTTTTCATGTAATTAAGAAAACTCAGCTATATTTTATTCCAAATTATCCAATTGAAGATTCAGTAGATGTTGAGTTACCAAATATATCGGGAGGAAAAACTGTATTTCTTGTCTAAATGTCTTGATGCCCTGAAATATCTTCTATTATTCATTATTAGTCTAATACATTCTTCATTGATCACTCTAACAACATCCAGTTATGAAAATAGTAAACGCTTTTCCCATGAATGTAAATCTCTTTAGTTTCAATGCCTGGAATAATTCAGGTTCAAGACACCAGGAAATAAACTAGAATCGATTGTTTTATTATATTAAAAATCTTCAAAATTTAAATATTTCTTTTCGCTGATTGACAATCCCAAACAAATGTTGCGATAGTTTTGGTGTTATTTATTACCAATTCAACATAAGGGATTGAAAAACGTATATCAACATGTGTTAACCATGAAAGTGTTGCATGGGGCTAAAGATTAATGACGTTTAGAGGATATATCGAAGTAAAGATCGGAATTCTCTATTGTTCATTGTTCTCTTTTGTTTGTCTCGAGTCTAACTGGATTAAAAACACTTGAATTTGTTATTTTTAATGTTAGTCAAGTTTTTATTATTGTTAATATTTCCTCAGACAGAAAATCAACACTATTCGTGGAGTTTTATGCAAGTTCAATCAACCGTCTTTGATATTTGATTGTAAAAAAGTAAACTCGACATCAACACACCAAACATGAAGTTGATTTTGTTCAATTGCTTTATACTCATTTGTTTACAAAGTAAGTATAATCATTAACTCAATGTAATACCAATTTTTGGAACCAAAAACTCAATATTTTCTGGTATTTCAGATCAATTCTTAGCCAGGCCAGTTCTACTAGAGGATGGCGTTTTACTTCGACAAATTGCTGATAGCTACAGTGCTCCATTGGTCGCTTCGTTTTTACATTCAAGAATAGAAAATACTGCTGAAATGGTTGAAGACATTAAGAATTCGTTGGAAAATTTGAGTGAAAATCAACGAAAATTGTTTATTTTGAAAGTATAATAAAAAGTCTTGAAGCTTTGGACAAACAACTAACTTCATTGCAAAAAACAGATTATTTCACCTTCAATGGCACTGAAAGAATCAAGTATTTAATTGAACAATACGTTTTGAATAATGAAATGTTTCCAACTGAGTTGGGATTCGAAGAAACGAAATTTCAATCAACTCCAGACGATTTGCTAAAACAGGTCAATCTTATGTCCAATGATAATCTTATTAAGGATACAAATGATCTTCTAAACGTTTATCTCCAAAATATTGAGGAGAAGGAATCGAATGAAAAAAATAATGAACTTCAAAGATTTGCTGCTTCGCTAACTAAAAACAAACTCAAGGCCTTAGTTAACTTCAAATATACCGATCCTGTAATCCAAAAAAATCGTTCTGGACAGCAAACTGGCATCATTGATAATCGAGCTTCTCAGATTGAGTCTGTTTTGCACCAGTTCAAAAACGTCATCGATCTTTTTTATCCTCAATTTGAGAATCTGGCGACTCAAAGTGCTCCACCAGCTCCACTGGAACCAGTTGTTGCCAAAGTCAGCGACTCAATTGAGGTCACACAGAAGCCACAGCAAAAAGAGTTAAAAGTTTAAAATATTCAATGATTAATGGTTCACTAAGGATAATAATATTTCAAATAATTAAATCAAATTAATTGTTTCGGTTGCATAGATTCTATTCAAATACATGTTTTGCATGATTACAATGATTATAAATACATTGATGCAGATATTAATTAGGAGATATAAAAATGGTAGATTTTGGTGTAATGTTGAATGCAGTCAAATTCATCCAATCTATTTGATAATTTTGAGGTGTCAACGCTGGGAATCCTTCATTTCAATACAACCACCAATTCAATTAGTTAAAGATAGCTTAGATCTTAGCATAGATTTTGGCAGTATTTGAATCATCAGTTAAAATTTCTTCGGTTTCGATTTTTTCATTGTAATATTATCTGGGGTTATAAATTGCTTTATAAATAAATCATATAAAATGCATCTTTGATTAAACATGTAGAAGTGTAAGGTTAGTTAGATGACAATTGTAATTATCATCCTTTAAAATTGTTGGAAAGCAATATCAATTGTTGCTGGAATTGTGCGTATTGTTGTTAAATGATTGTAAAACAAGGAAAAAGATTATAAGGCCAATAATGAGTTAATTAATAAATAACACGAAAAGACATGGAAATGAAATTGTTAGAAATTGAACTTGCTTCATGAATTGCTTTAATAATTGTATTACATATGAAAACTATGTTATTCCTCTGAATAAGTTTTCGAAAGATTGCGCTCGGCTTCAATGTATGTAGAGCACTTAATTAATCTATGATTACAGCTATACAAAATGGGCAATAATGAGATCTTGTACATTTTTCAGAGTTACAGTGGTACACTTTACTATTCTAATGAATGTCAATAATTTTTCATTTATAGTGCTTTCAGCATTTACTCTGAAAATTTTTGTGAATGAAAATTTGAGATTGGTTTTACTTTCATCAGCTGACCAGTAAAATATGTTTGCTCTTAGCCATCCGTTTTAGAAGGTATCTCGTACATTTTACTATGTGATATGCTAAGGGCTATGCCGAAATTTAAAAATACAGTCCACTCTCCAGCTTTGTTGCCATGTCTTGTTACAACGCCTCTCTTGAACTTGGGTCCAAAACATGATCTTCAAAATTGACATGAGCTCCTTGCTTGATACTTTTAACAGGGATTTTCTTTTTTACGAAGTTTGCTGAAGACTTTAGATGCTTATTCCTTTAATTGATTAAATTTGGATCTAAAAAAATTAACCAAAATGGTCCAGGATAAACTAATTCAGTCAAAATTTCGTGTTGGTCAGGGATTTTGTGAATAGGTGCAGAAGATTTTTGAATTAATACAGCGGCTTTTCAATAACTTTTGTTCAAAAGGTCAGATCTGGATGAAATTTAGTCAGTATAATTGCTGCAATCAAAGGACCATAAATCCAATCTCAAAAACATTTAAGGTCATTCAATTATTTGACCTTTAATTGACTTTTGGATACCGATTTCTGAAAGTCAAACTTCTGAGTGTCAAACTTTTCACACCGGTTGATGCTTGGTACATGTTGATGAATCATATAATTGGGAAGATAAGCGAATTTGCACCAAAAAGCATTCATTGACTGTACATAAGCACTCATATCTTTTTACTCACTTGAATTATCAACATCTACCAAACATCAACCGATGTGAAAAAGTTTGAACTTTCAGAAAGTGACATGCAAAAGTCAATTAGAGGTCAAATAATTGAATGACCTTGAATGTCCTTGAGACTCTGGATTTATGGTTCATTCATTCAATTTGTCAGATTATACTGACTAAATGTCATCCAGATCTGACCTCTGGTACAAAAGTTATGAGCACAAACGATGGCAAGGACGAAGTAAACGCACCGTATAAAGTTTCGTCTTTCTGTTGTGAAGCAACCAATTCCGTTTCATCAACTTTTTGCTTCACTTTGTTCATTCTTTATCAACAATAAATTCATTATTGATAGTTTTCTCAATATTTGCTAAGTTTTCAATGAAATGATGAATTTTAACGTCTTTCCTTTACAGCTTGAATCAAAAATTGGTTACAATACCCGCCATGGAAACCAGAAACTGGCTGCTTTCTTGGCTAATTACCAGTATTTATCAAATTATAGCTACGGTGACAAGGATCTTAATGATCCTCGTACAAATGCACTTGGTACAGTGATAAGAGATGTGCAAACAGTTTGCAAAATCGGGCCAAAAATTATGCGATTTTTACCATGTTGATAAATGAAATATGTCAATCTTCTTTCGATGCATTCATTTATATAGACATCAGAATTCATGGCATCATTAGATTCATATAAATAAATTTTTGAAATGCGAATTTTACTGATTGCGGCCCAAATCATGAGTTTTCCCCGATTTTTTCCTTGAATCGGAATCTGACAGAAGCAGGGAATTGTTCCAAATCAAATCCATGTTGTCCATCATAAAAATCATGTCCACTGAGATCAAAATAGGTCTCATCATCCATGATCACACATCGATAATTGATTGCAACCTTCAGGCGCGGTAATCTTTCAGTAATCGTAAGCTGCTGGTGATCAGAAACTTTTTTCTTTTTTAACATTAACCCCAAGTTCATTGGCCACTCTTTTCGCGGTAACATGATTGAAATTTAATTTTCGTCCAATAGCTCGGTATCCAGGAAAAATTTTGTTTTTAGTCATCCCCAGAACTTTTTTCCGAACAGATGACGTAATTTTTAATTTAGGTCTTCCAGCTGAATGAATTAAAAAACTTTCAATATCAGTTGACAATGAGTTATACTATCGTTTTGCAGTCATCCGATTGACACCATTAACAACAAATTTTTTAACTATTTGAGCGCGACTGAGTTGGTTAAAGTTGGCTCCGAAAAAGTTTTTACACACAGGTTTCAAACTCCTTGTATTCATGATGAATATTTACTGAATTGAGTCTTCGATTTTCGCCAAATTTATACACTATTTACTATATACTATTTTTGACCCTTTAATCTACATTCCCAGAAAAATCTCATGCCCCTAGCTTTTCTACTTCTAGAGAAATTCAATTCTGAACTTTTTGTAACATAATTTTTAACCACAGGTTAACGTTATCCCACATCTGTGCACATCCTTAGTTTCACGTTGCAATATCGGAAATTAGCCACTTATTTTATTTATAAATAATAGTTACTTTTGGCATTCAGTATTCAATTGATCGATTTGAAGGGTCAATTTTATCAGCATTGATCTTAAATGCATTTCTTGAGATTTGGAACACCAAAAAAAGCTCGAATCAATTGATTTATAAAAATCTATTATAATTTAAACATTTCGTTCTGCTAATTGACAATCCCCAACAAATGTTGAGACAGTTTTCGCGTTAGTTATTGACAGTTCGGCAATCTTAAATCTTCATGTGTTAACCACGAAAGCGTTGCATGGGACTAAGGATACATGATGTTTAGATGATGTATCGAAATAAGAATCAAAATTCGCTATTGTTTATTGTTCTCTTTTGTATTGTCTCGACTCGAGACTCTCGAGTCTAACTGGATTCAAAACACTTGAAGTTGTTATATTTAATGTTAGTCAATTTGTTATTACTGTTAATATTTCCTCAGACATCAAATCAGCACCATTCGTATTGTTTTATGCCAGTTCATTTAATATTTAATTGACAAAAGTAAACTCGACATCAATCCAACTAAACATGAAATTAATTTGGATCAATTGCTTTATACTCATTTGTTTACAAAGTAAGTATTATCCTTAATTCGATGCCGTGAAAATTTCCGTGAGCCGAAATCTTAATATTTTCTGGTGTTTCAGATCAATTCTTAGCCAACCCAGTTACATTAGAAGATGGCGTTTTACTTCGACAAATTGCTAATAGCTACAGTGCTCCATTGGTTGCTTCGTTTTTACATTCAAGAATAGAAAATACTGCTGAAATGGTTGAAGACATCAAGAATTCGTTGGAAAATCTGAGTGCAAATCAACGAAATTTGTTCATTTTGAAAGTAAAAAGTCTTGAAGCGTTGGACAAACAAATAACTTCATTACAAAAAACAGATTATTTCAACTTCAATGGAACCGAACGAGTTAAGTATTTAATTGAACAATACATTTTGAATAATGAAATGTTTCCAACTGAGTTGGGATTCGAAGAGGCAAAAGGCAACTCAACTCCAGACGATTTGCTGAAACAGATCAATGTTGTATCAAATGATGATCTTATCAAGAATACAAATGATCTTATAAACGTTTATCTCCAAGACATTGAAGAGAAGGAATCGAATGAAAAATATAATGAGCTTCAGAAATTTGCTGCCTCGCTAGCTAAACATAAACTAAATCCTTTAGTCAACTTTAAATATACCGCACCAACAACTCAACGTGATCGCTATGGAACTCAAACCGGCATCTCTGATATTCGTGCGCCTCAAATTGAGTCTGTTCTGCGACAGTTGAAAAACATTGTGGACCTTTTTTATCCTCAATTTGATAATCTCGCGACTCAAAGTGCACCATCAGCTTCACTTGAACCAGTCACACCAGAAGTCAAACCTCGAGTTGAAGTCAAAAATGATCAATAGCGGAAATAGCTCAACAGTTATAATTTTTATTGATTAATAATTTACTAAGGATCATTATATTTAAAATGATTAAATAAAACAACTTTTTTTCAATTTAGTGGATTCAATTTAATTTCATGTTTTGCATGATTACAATTGCATTGATGCAGATATTGAATAGAAGGTTAGATTCTGGTGAAATGCAATGCCGTATGCAATCAAATTCATTCGCTGCAGTTTCTCATGAAAACCACCAATTCAATTAGTTAAAGATAGATTAGATTTTAGCATAGATTTTTGCTTAAGTAGTTAAAATCAACAGTTGAAATTCCTCGGGTTCGAATTTCATTAAAATATTATTAGGGGTTTAAATTGATTTATAAATAAATCATATAAAATGCAATCTTTGGTTTGACATTTATTTTATCGTAAAGAAAATTACACCATTAGATTGAATCGTGAGGTTGAGTAGATTCAATATCATCTATTAGGTATGCTGACTTGAACAATTGAGTGATATTCAAGCTCGAAAACAATAAGCTATTGTTTGATATTAGAATTTTATCTTGTTGCTAATAACATTCGAAGGTTTATTAACAGATAGTCTTGAAGCGGTTCAACTTGGTTTACTTATTTGGTTTATTATTTATGAACAGTTAGCAACATTGCAAAGGATTTTGTTATTAAAATGGCTACTTTACAATCGTTTGTATGTGGTTCGAAAATTGGATTACCCTTGATGTTTCTAGCAATGATTTTAGGTAAGCATTTCAGTTAAACTTGGATGTTAGATAAAATTTAATGTTTTGTTTTTGATTTAGTTTTGCCATTAACTCGATCTGCACCATTGGAAGAAGCCAAGTTGTTGCGACAGATTGCTGACCAATACAGCGCTCCATTGGTTGTCTCATTCCTACATTCAAGGATCCAGAAGAACGAAGAAATGATTTCCAAAATTGAAAGCTCTCTTAAAGATTTGGATCAATCTAAAGTTGATGTCTTTGATTTGGCTGAAAAAACTCTTGAATTATTGGATGAACAGTTAACTGCTCTGGAGAAGGCTGATTACTTTGATTTCAATGGAACGGAAAAAGTAAAGTATTTTATTGAACAATTCATCATGCAAAACGAAATGTATCCAATTGAGTTTGGTTCCTATGGAGCAGTTAAGGTCCCTGTTACTCCTGATGCTTTGTTGGAAAATCTTGGAAAGAAAACGAGCAAAGTTATGATCAGTTCTACTAATACTATGATACAAACATACTTGACCGATATCGATGAAAAAGAGCGAAGTTTTGGTAGCAATCGAATGCAGAAGCTGGCTGCTTTCTTGGCTAAACGAGAGCTAAAGCTATTAAGCAATTACCAGTATCCACCATCCTATGGTAATGACGGTTACAATGAAGCTAATGATCCTAAATTTGCACTTGGTACAGTGCTAAGAAAAGTAAAGAGAATTGTTGACTTTTTTTATGCTCAGTTCAACTATTTGGCTGATTCAAAGTCAACCAACAGAATGGGTGAAAAGTCAGTCAACAAAAGACAAGAAGAACAATCGGAAATTGAGACCGAGGTAACAACCAAGTTTGGTCTAAAGTCAAGTACCAATATGAATGAAAATTTAGTCAACGAAAGGGAAGAAAAACAATCTTTCGCCTCTGAATTTGAAGCCGAGGTAGTAACCGTAGCTAGTCCAGAGTCAAATACTATTGAGATATTGCCTCCCGATTTCCAAGCGGAAGTGGCTACAATTCCATCTGTTCGAAGGCATGAATAACCATATTACTTCTGGCGAGCTGAACAAGGTCACTATAACTTTTTTTAATCTTGGTACCTGTGGCCCTCAAGGGATGAAAATCCGACCTGCGAATGAAAATGAAAAAATCACTTACTGATGACTGACTTTGAAAGATTAAAGACAATATTAGAATTTTAATGAAATAATTTCTTCGTTAAAATTATTTTTCTACTTCGAACATGGAAAGAACAATTTCATTACAAGTACAAGGTATTATTCAATCGTGAAAAATCAAAATAAAAACTCAATAGATGTTAGATATCAATCGGGAAGAAAAAACTTTTTCATTGAAGCAAATTGTTCATTTATTGCGGATGCTAATAGTACTGTAATAGCACTGGATGCTCTGTTGTTGCTTCTCAGATCTCAGCTTTCATCATCTTTTCAGATCAGGTTTCAGATCTATGTCAATATAAGTATTCCAAATTATATACCTCACTAGTGAAATTCAATTAAATTCAAGACGATTTACCCAAACAGCTAAATATCATATCCAGTGATCAACTTATTAAGGATAAAAATTATTTTACAAATACCATCTTCAAGACTTGAGATTGGCTGCTTCGCTAACTAGTCACAAACTGAAGCTTTTAGTTTGAATCTCTTGACTCAAAGTACACCATCATCTTCATTGTAACAGTTACTTCCGAAGTCAAAAGTTAAGTTGAAGTTATAAATGGTCCTCTACAAACAGTAAAAAATTAACGAAGTTAACTTGATTGAAAATCATTCAGTTATTCCTAAATTGATTTGACTACCGAGTAATTTATAACGAAGAAGCATATTTTATAAAAGTCGCGAGAGTTGCTACTAAGGATGCGATCTAAGGATCATCTGATATTTCAAAGTAATGATTTAATGAAGAGAAAAATCTATAATGAGCTGAAACACACTATTTTAAATTTTTATTTAATAAGATTCAATAGATGTCAAGCTGCAAAGAAAATGCATTACAATAAAAATAACCGCTTTATGAATCTTGGAATAAGCATTTGTCCATGTTCACTTCTTATTTCCACTTCGACTACTGGCATAAGCAGCATTTTGGGGATTCATTTGGTTACCATGATTATCAAGATCACTCTTGGTTCCAGTCCCTTGGTAGCCTGTAATTAGAGTCAGTAATTAAATGACAACAAATAGTAATAATGTTAAGTTAACTCACCAGCATTGTGGCCTTTTCCACTTGGCATGTGTGTTGGATTACATTGGTTGGTTCGGTTTGAAGGATCCATTATATTAAATTTTCAAGTTAAACAACGATTCAATGAAACGAAACAAAGAAATAAACTTTTAACTGTTTTCAAGTGAAGTTTTAAGTTGTATGATACAAAGTATGGTTTAGATTTGAGGTTAAATAGGAAATTTGAAGGAAGGATTGGAAGGAAGCTCTCGTGTTTATCTCCAGACTTCAGTATGTTTTGATTCAAATGAAATTAACCCTTTCTTCAAGTCAACAAAGGAATTAAGTTACTTGTTTTTGTGATTCAATCCATAACATTATGAGACGTAAAACGATAAAGATCTTCAAAAACATCGATTATAGCATCAGAAACATCAACATTAATTAATCGCAAACACATTAATCTTTTCTTATTGTTAATTGAAATCATTCAATCGGTCTGAAGTCCAAAAGGCTGATGAACATTTTTAATAACTGTTTCAATTGCTTCTAAAGGTTTATCATCGGTGCCAATAGAAACTTGCACATCAATAATACAGTTCCGACCAGTTTTAACAACAAATCGATAACTATCATCTGACTTTAGTAGAAGTAGCATAAAGAAGCATAGAAGCCAAAGTGCTTGGAATAAACAGTTTAAAATCCTTTCAGATTCGTTTAAATTGTATTAAATAAAGCATATAAAAATGCAATATTTGATCAAATATTTATTTTATTGTAAATCACAAATGTGGACTCAATATATCTTGGTATACTGAATGGACCGATTGAGCGATATTCAAATCGAACAATTTTCTAACATAAAACAAGTTATCATTCAGTTAAAGATTCAATAGAAGTCGAATTATCCAGATACGAATCTGGAGAAAGAAACTATTTTATGTCTAAATCTCATGGATTAAGCCATTGATCCCTCTAAAATGATCCAGTTATGGAGCTATTTACGCTTTACCGCAACTGGGTATATCTTTAGTTTAAAGTTTCATGTCTAACAAGTTATTCACTTCATTTATTAATAGTTAGTTTTGGCATTCAGCACTCAATCAATAGACTTGAAGAGTTAATTTTATTGCCGTTGATCGTAAATTGCGTTTCTTGTGATTAAAGATATCCAAAATTAGTTAGTATAAATACTAGCAAGTTCATCAAATCGTCTTTAATACTTGATTGACAAAAGCCAACTCGTCATCAATGCAACCGAAAATGAACTTGATTTTGATCAAATGTTTTATACTCATTTATTTACAAAGTAAGTTTCATATTATCCTTAACTCAATGTCATTAAAATTTTTATAAACGAAAACTTAATATTTTTGGTGTTTCAGATCAATTCTTAGCCAACCCAGTTACATTAGAAGATGGCGTTTTACTTCGACAAATTGCTGATAGCTACAGTGCTCCATTGGTCGCTTCGTTTTTACATTCGAGAATAGAAAATACTGCTGAAATGGTTGAAGACATCAAGAACTCGCTTGAAAATTTGAGTGAAAATCAACGAAATCTGTTTATTTTGAAAGTAAAAAGTCTTGAAGCTTTGAACAAACAACTAACTTCATTACAAAAAACAGATTATTTCAACTTCAATGGAACTGAACGAGTTAAGTATTTAATTGAACAATACATTTTAAACAATGAAATGTTTCCAACTGAGTTGGGATTCGAAGAGACGAAATTCAATTCAACTCCAGACGATTTGCTTAAGCAGCTCAATGTTATGTCCAATGATAATCTTATTAAGGATACAAATGATCTTATAAACGTTTATTTGAAAGACATTGAAGAGAAGGAATCGAATGAAAAATATAATGGACTTCAAAGATTCGCTGCTTCGCTAACCAAACACAAACTAAAGACCTTAGTTAACTTTAAATTTAGCGAACCAGAGATCCGTCGAGATGATTATGGAGAGAGAATTGGCACCACTGATAATCGTGCATCTCAAATTGAATCGGTCCTGCGACAGTGCAAAAGCATTGTGGATCTTTTTTATCATCAATTTGAGAGTATCGCGACTCAAAGTGCACCATCATCTTCATTGGAACCAGTTACACCAGAAGTCAAAGCTCGAGTTGAAGTCAAGCATCCATTGTAAAAGAATACAAAAGTTCTCATTTTTAATGATAAATTGTTTAATAAGGATAATAAAATAATCTAGAATAATAAATAAAACCATTTATATTCAACTTGGGATTTCAATTCGATCTAACTTTATGTTATAATGTTATAAGATGATAAGCTGCTATGAAAATCTATTAAAATCCACTGTAAACCATCTAATTTAATAATTGCTCTTGCTAATCGACGAGCCCACACAAATTTTGAGACAGTTTTGGCATTAGTTAATGACGATTTGGCATTAAGAATTAAAATGAAAAATCAACATGAGTTAAACATGAAAGAGTTGCATGGGACTAAGAATTCATGAAGTTTAGAGTATAAAGTGTATACCGGAATAAGGGTCAAAAATTCCTTATTGTTCTTTTTGTATTCACTAATTGTCTCAGGTCTTAATCGATCCAAAACACTTGAAGCTGTTATATTTAATGTTAGTCAAGTTGTTATTTCCTCAGATATCAAATAAACATCATTCGTGCTTGTTTATGCGAGTTCATCAAATCGTCTTTAATACTTATTCTACAAAATTTAACTCTACATAAATGCTATTAAACATGATTTTGATTTTGATCAAGTGCATTATACTAATTTGTTTACAGAGTAAGTATCATAAACTCGATATTGTAGAAATATTTGAAATGAAAACTAATATTTTCTGGTCTTGCAGATCAATTCCTAGACGCGTCAGCTCCATTAGAAGATGGTGTCTTACTTCGACAAATTGCTGGCAGCTACAGTGCTCCAGCTTTTACAATGAAACTTTGCCAAGAATAGAATTAATTGATTCCCAAGTCAAGCTACTGCGAAGTTATTAGACTTTGATTCGAAGATGAAACCCATGTTTATCTCATCACTTCAAGATGTTTCGATTCAAATGTAATTAACCCTTCCTTCAAGTTTACAAAGGAATTAAGTTTCTTGTTTCTGTGATTCAATTCAAAACCTCACGAGTTTTAAAACGATTAACATCTTGAAAAACATCTTTAATTAATCCTAAACAGCATTAATTTTGGCTCGCTGTTAATTGCAATCATTCAATCAATTTGGAGAGTTCACATTAATGGAAACTTTGGTCAGTTATAACAATAAATTTTCATTATTTCTGATTCTACTAGTAGTAGAAGCATCCAGCAGAAGAATGGATTTCGTTAAAGTAGCTCAAATAAACAGTTTAAAGTTCTCCTTAGTTACTAACCTCAAATCCACAATCTGCAAATCTCGCGACTCAAAGTGCATCATCATCTGCATTAAAACCATTTAACAATCTGCTGAAGATGAAGAAGGATAGATTTTGGCAAAGTGTCGAAGCAAATCATATTCATTTATACTGAAATTTTAAGCTGTCAACGCTTGAAATTCTCATGAAAATTTAATTAGCTAATATAAGCAGCTTTGCATTACTTCAGGTTCGATGTTTTCGTTAAAAAATTATTAGGGCGTTTTAACTGATTTATAAATAAATCATATGAAAATGAAATCATTTATTATTTATTCATTTTATTGTAAAACGTTACCGTTTGAACGAATGGTGGGGTTGAATATTAATAGATTAAATATTATCTAGGTATGCTGACTCGATTGAGCTATATTTAACCTCGAGAATAATAAGCTATCGTTTGATATCAGAATTTATCTTGTTGTTAGTAACATTCACAGGTTTATTAAACAGATATTTGGATTAAAGCAGTTCAGTTTAGTATACTTATTGGATTAATTATTTGTGAACAATTGAAAATATTTTAAAAGATTTTCTGTTGTAATTAAAATGGCTAATTTACGATCTTCAGGATGTAAATGCAAAATTGGATTACCATTGATGTTGATGACGTTTATTTTAGGTAAGGATTTCAGTTACACTGGTAGCTGCCGTTAACGCAGCAAATAGATCAATTTTTATCATAGTCGACATCTATAAGGTCATACAACTATATCAAAGTTGAGCATTACTTAAATACTAATGTCTCTAAAACAATAAATACCAAAGATGGCGACACCTAAAAAATTGCGTTAACTAGAACCGTAATTTGTTGCGTTAAGTGCAGCTACCAGTGTAATAAAAAAATTTAGATAATATCTGATGGATTCTTTTTGGTTGTATCTTTAAGGTTTGCCAGCAAGTCGATCTGCCCCATTGGAAGAAGCCAAGTTGTTGCGACAAGTTGCTGACCAATACAGTGCTCCATTGGTTGTGTCATTCCTACACTCAAGAATACTGAAAAATGAAGAAATGATTACCAAAATTAAAAGCTCTCTTAAAGATTTGGATCAATCAAAAGTTGATGTCTTCGATTTGGCTGAAAAGACGCTTCAACTGTTGGATGAACAGTTAACTGCTCTGGAAAAGGCTGATTACTTTGATTTCAATGGAACTGAGAAAGTAAAGTATTTCATTGAACAATTCATCATGCAAAACGAAATGTATCCAATTGAGTTTGGTTCCTATGGATTAGTTAAGGTTGCTGTTACTCCAGACGCTTTGTTAGCAGATCTTGCATTGAAAACGAGCGATGTATTGATCAATGAGACTAATACTATGATACAAACATACTTGACGGATATCGATGAAAAAGAGCGAAGTTTTGATAGCAATCAAATGCAAAAACTGGCTGCTTTCTTGGCTAAACGAGAGCTACAACTGTTGGCTAAATACCAGTATCCACCAATTTATAACTACGGTTACAATGATCTTACTGATCCTTGTAAAGTTGCACTTGATACAGTGCTAAGAAAGGTAAAGGCTATTGTTGACTTCTTTTATGCACAATTCAACCATTTGGCTGATCCAAAGTCAAGCAAAAAAACAAGTGAAATACCTGTTAGCCTCGAGCCTCGATTCATTGTGGTTACATCTAAGCCTCTTCAAGAGACAAAAACACCATATTATCATTGAACAACCGTAGGTTTGGGAAATTTAACGCGAAGTTAAAATGAGTGAAAGCTCGTTTTAAACCCTTCCAGCGTGAGCCGAGAAAAGAACAGCAAAAACTGACTGAATCTAATATCGCAAATGAAAATCTTTCCTTCGTTTAAACCATGTCTTCGTCACTCTAAACATGCAAAACAATTTAATTACTAAAATAAAACAAGTTATCATTCAATCAAGAAAACTCAAACCTCAATAGATGTTCAGATATCAATCGAAAGGGAAACTATTTTATAATTTTGCAGTGAATCTTTCATCAATTTTTGCCAATGCGAGTACAGTACTGTAATAACAGTAAATGCTTTCGTTTTGCTTTTTAGATCTAACTCCAATATTAACACTTTTGGAAGAAGATGATAACTCAATATAATGAGAAATAAAAGAAACAATTTTTCCCATGAAATCATCGATTTACAACTATAGCTATTGTACCAAAGATTTCGAACTCTTTTGGTACTTTTCTTGAACAAAAAAAAAAGTCTTAATAACCTCAAATACTATACTATACTAACAGGTCAACTTTAAATGAAAATAATAAGCTGTCAACGTTGAAGATTTTCGTGGAAATTACAAAGTTAATTAGCTAAATCCATCAGATTCGATGTTTTCGTTGTAATACTTATTAAGGAGTTTGAATTATAAATAAACCGCACAGAAATCGAATCTTTGATCAAATGGTTGCGTTTAGTATATTCAATATTATCTATTAGGTATGCTGACTCGATCAATTGAGCGATATTCAAGTTCGAAAACAATAAGCTATTGTTTATTATCAGAGTTTTATCTTGTTGTCAATAGAATATAAAGATTTATCTGCAAGTTAGTCTGGCCAGAAGTTCGAAACTTAGTTTACTTTTTGTGTTTATTATTTATCAACGTTTAAGTATAGCCAAGGATTTGATTTGATTTAATTAAAATGAACACTTTACATTCATTTGGACATAAATCCACAATTGGATTACTATTCATGTTGATGGCGTTTGTTTTAGGTAAGGATTTCAGTTAACCTTAGATTGTAGCTAAAATTTAATGTTTTTCTTTTGATTTAGTTTTGCCATTAACTCGATCAGCACCTTTGGAAGAAGCCAAGTTGTTGCGGCAAATTGCTGACCAATACAGTGCTCCATTGGTTGCCTCATTCCTACATTCAAGAATACTGAAAAATGAAGAAATGATTTCCAAAATTAAAAGCTCTCTTAAAGATTTGGATCAATCTAAAATTGATGTCTTTGGATTGGCTGAAAAGACGCTTGAATTATTGGACGAACAGTTAAGTGCTTTGGAAAATGCTAATTACTTTGATTTCAATGGAACTGAAAAAGTAAAGTATTTCATTGAACAATTCATCATGCAAAACGAAATGTATCCAGTTGAGTTTGGTTCCTATGGATCAGTTAAGGTTGCATTTACTGCTGATGCTCTTTTGGAGGATCTTACATTGAAAACAAGTGATGCACTTATCAATTCGACTAATACTATGATACAAACATACTTGACCGATATCGATGAAAAAGAGCGAAGTTTTGGTAGCAATCGAATGCAAAAGCTGGCTGCTTATCTGGCTAGACGAGAGCTACAACTGTTGGCCAATTATGAGTATCCACCAAATTATTATAACTACGCTAACAATGATCTTAGAGAACCTCGTAAAGTTGCACTTGGTATAGTTTTAAGAAAAGTAAAGACAATTGTTGACTTCTTTTATTCTCAGTTTAACCATTTGTCTGATTTAAAGTCAACTACCAAAGCTAATGAAAATTCAGTCAACGAAAGTGAATCAAAACAAATACAACCTGCGTTACGTGTGGCCGTGGTACAAACCGAGTCAACTACCAAAATGAGTAAAGCATCTGATAGCTCTGATTTTGATGTGGATGTGGTAACAATCAATCCTCAGAGGCAAGAAGAACCATTTCTCATGTGGCGGACAACACCACCACCACCTAGGAAAGGAAAGTAATGATGAAAAACAACTTTTACCTGTGACCGAAATGAGGAGAAAAACCGACTCGGGTCTAAGAATGGAAAAGAAAAAATCGAGTCTTTCTTTACTATAAACATGAAAAAACAATTTAATTGCTAAAGTAAACAAGTTATCATTAATATAATAAGTCTCAAACTCAATTTCATTATATTTTAAATAATGTGTTGAACATGGAAGAGTTGCATGGGACTAAGGATGCATGTTGTTTAGAGTGTGTATCGGAATAAGGGTCAAAAATTCTTCATTGTTCTTTTTTGTATTCTTCGATTGTCTCAGGTCTTAGTCGATTGAAAACACTTGAAGCTATTTATACAATGTATTTAATGTTAGTCAAGTTATATAATAAGTCAAAAGTCAATAAAGCTCAAATATAATGAGCTTCAAAGATTGGCTGCTTCGCTCACTAAGCACAAAATGAAGCCCTTGTTAGTTGACTTTAAATATAGCGACTGAGATTGAGACTTGAGTGATCTTAGCAAATCAACCTGTGGGTAAGTTAGTTTAGTGTTATGTTGGCTGTGATTCTGTGAAAAAAGTCTTGATTCAGTTGCTCCTAAATCGATTTTATTATCGAGTAATCTATTATAAATAATCATAATTTGTAAAAATCGCGAGACTTGGCACTAAGGCTGCAGCTAAAAATCATCTTCTGATATTTCAAGTAATGATTTGATGAGTGAAACAATTTAAAATAATGGAATAAAACAATTTGCTTCAAGTTTAAAAATCTCTTTTATTTAATAAGATTCAATAGATGTCAAACTTTAAAGGAAATGAATTAGAAACAAATTATCCAATCTTGGAATAAGCTGTTCATGTTCACTTCTTGTTTCCACCTCGGCTGCTGTGATAGGCCTGATTGTTAGGATTACCCTGGTTTGCATGGTTTCCAAGATCACTCTTGGTTCCAGTCCCAGCGTAACCTGAAATTGAAGTTAATAATTGAATGACAACAAATACAGTAATAATATAAGTTTACTTACCCGTATTGTGACCTAGGCCACTTGGGATATGAGATGGATTACATTGATTGGTACGATTTCCACGGTCCATGATGTTCAATTAGATGATGTTCAACAATTATTGAATGAAACAAAACAAAGAAATAAACTTTAAACTGAAGAGAAGCTGCCAATACATGGCATAACGAATGATTCAGATTTGCCTTTAAATAGGAAAGTTGATCGATGTTCATTCATCGGGAGTTAATCAAGAATGAGAATCTAATGGTTTCGGATGTTGTAAATAAACATAAATATGATTCTTTTACAATGAAACTTTCCCAAGAATAGAATTAATGATCTCCAAGTCAAGATACTGAGAAGTTATTAGACTTTGATTCGAAGATGAAACCCATGTTTATCTCATGACTTCAAGATCATTCGATTCAAATGTAATTAACCCATTCTTCAAGTCAACAAAGGAATTAAGTTTCTTGTTTTTGATTCAATTCAAAACCTCACGAGTTTTAAAACAATTAACATCTTGAAAAACATCTTTAATTAATCCTAAACAGCATTAATTATGGCTTGCTGTTAATTGAAATCATTCAATCAATTTGGAGAGTTCACAAGTCTGATCAATTACGTGATCTCTCATTTTTTATTGCTATTGCTCTAAAGGTTCATTATAGATGTTAATGGAAACTTTGGTCAGTTATAACAATAAATTTTGAATTTTTTTCTGATTCTGTTGGTAGTAGAAGCAGTATGCAGAAGAATGGATTTTGTGAAAGTAGTTCAAATCAACAGTTGAAAGTTCATACAGACTCGATGCTCCCATTAATTATCAAGGTATCTTTATAAATGAATCTCATAAAATGCATTATTGCGTTTGAAATTTATTTTATTGTAACCAAAAATGTTGATTAAATGGTAAGGTTGAGAATACCCAATACTATCTAGGTATGCTGACTTGATCAATTGAGCGATATTCAAGCTCGAAAACAATAAGCTATTGTTTGATATCAGAATTTCATCTTGTTGTTAATAGCATTCAAAGGTTTATTAAAACCATAGTCTGGAAGCAGTAAAATTGTGTATACGTATTGGGTTTATTATTTGTGAACAGTCGAAAATATTGTGAAAGATTTTCTGCTGTAATTAAAATGGCTACTTTACGATCATCAGGATGTAAATGCAAAATTGGAGTACCATTCATGTTGATGGCGCTTGTTTTAGGTAAGGATTTCAGTTAATCTTAGATTGCAGCTAAAATTTAATGTTTTGCTTTTGATTTAGTTTTGCCATTAACTCGATCAGCACCATTGGAAGAAGCCAAGTTCTTGCGACAGATTGCTGATCAATACAGTGCTCCACTGGTTGTCTCATTCCTACATTCTAGGATCCAGAAAAACGAAGAAATGATTACCAAAATTAAAAGCTCTCTTAAAGATTTGGATCAATCAAAAGTTGATGTCTTTGATTTGGCTGGAAAGACGCTTGAATTATTGGACGAGCAGTTAACTGCTCTTGAAAAGGCGGATTACTTTGATTTCAATGGAACTGAAAAAGTAAAGTATTTTATTGAACAGTTCATCATGCAAAATGAAATGTATCCAGTTGAGTTTGGTTCCTATGGATCAGTTAAGGTTGTTGTTACTCCAGACGCTTTGTTGGAAGATCTTCCATTGAAAACCAGCGATGTATTGATCAGTTCGACTAATACTATGATCCAAACATACTTGACGGATATCGATGAAAAAGAGCGAAGTTTTGGTAGCAATCGAATGCAAAAACTGTCTGCTTTCATGGCGAAACGAGAGCTGAAGCTGTTGGCCGATTATTCGTATCCCCCAAATAATGGTAACTACGGTTACAATAATGTCAATGATCCTCGTAAAGTTGCAATTGGTACAGTGCTAAGAAAAGTAAAGACGATTGTTGACTTCTTTTACGCACAGTTCAACCATTTGGCTGATCCAAAGTCAACCATCAAAGGGAATGAAGTAACTAATAGCCACGAGCCTCGAATCGAGGTGGTTACATCTACTCCTAGTCAAGAGACAACACCACCCTATTAACACTGAACGAACGTAGTTTGTGAATCTGATTGTCAATAAAAACGAGTGGAAATCCATTTTAATATCGTCACCTGTGACCGAGAATCACAGTTCCACTCTGGTCCTAGAATGCAAATGAAAACCTTTTCTTTTGTTAGTCAAATCATATTTCCATTACTCTAAACATGAAAAAACAATTTAATTACTAAATTAAACAAGTTATTATTCAATCAAGTGACTCAATTCTCTTACATTGTAAGTCATGGATTCGATAGATGTTAAGATATTAACCAGGAGGAAAATATTCATTTCAAGTGAATCATTCATCACTTATTGCCAATGCGATTACTGTGATAACACTGGATGCATTGTTCTTGCTTTTCAGATCTGCTTCCAATATCAGTAACTTTGGAAGAAAATGAAAACTTATCTCTTATTTGTAAGTGAGAAATAAAAGAAACAATTTTCTCATGAAATCGTCCTTTTGAAAATGACTATAAATATTGAACTAAAGATTTCAACGGATAATTCAAACTCCTTTGGCACTTTCCTTGAACAAAAAAGAGTATTGATAGCCTCAAATACTTCGAACGCGTTTATGCCATTGATCACTCTAATATAATCCAGTCAGGGAAACCATTGACGCTTTTTGGTGCAACACTTTTCTCACATCTGTGAACATCTTAGTTGCAAGTTGCCATGTCTGAAGTTGTTACTATTGGCATACTACATTCAATTAATAACCTTGTAGTGTCGATTTTATCAGCATTCAGTCTTCTCCTTTTTATCGTAATTAAAATCATATAGCATTTTGGAAAGGGTACTTTGGCTAGCATTTGACCAGCTTTCTTGGTCTTGAGTCTTAAAGACTGACCATTGAGGGCAAGAATACTTGACTAAGGTTCAAGTCAGTAATAGAGTAAAAATAAGACTGATGTCTAATGAGGAAAAAGGAAATACGTTTATGGCTAAGAGTTTTTCAGATAAGAAAACTAATTTGTAATGATAGCCAATGACTATTCAGGCAATGACCAAAGAGTAAAATCATAGATAAAGAAATAAGTTTAAAAAAGGGAAAAGATTTGATTAATGAGTCGACCCCTTACATAATGTAAACTTTGAAGATAATGATAAAATAAAGGGTGTTGAGGTTAGTAAGGTTCAAGCAATCGCTTACCCAAATGTTGATAAGGAGATAAAGATGATAAAAATGAAAATATCAATGGTAAAGATCAAAGAGGAGCAAGAGATAGCACGAGGATGGAAGACCTCAAATTGAGATAAGGGCTGACTCTCGTACCGGTTGATAGATGGGTCTGATAGAAGGAAGAAAAGAAAGGGAAAAAGAAAGAAAAAATTAACCTCTTTGAATAATTTCTTCAGATTAAATTTTTTATAATTTCACTATTTATTCTTTGCTTGCTTCTATCAGACCCATCTATCAACCGGTACGAGAGTCAGCCCTTATCTCAATTTGAGGTCTTCCATCCTCGTGCAGTCTCTTGTTACTCTTTGGTAAAGATGGTTTATGAAGACGAAGACAATGAAACATTTTCATTTTATCATCTTTATCTCCTTATCAAAATTTGGGTAAGCGATTGCTTAAACCTTACTAAACTCAACACCCTTTACAAAAATAAAATAACCTTTGCTTGTAATTATTGTTACTTTGCTGTTTAAGCTTCTCTGGTTGTCTAGAGTCTCACTTGAAAGACACTTGAAACTGTTATTTTAATGTTAGTCAAGTTTTTGTTTCCTCAGATATCAAATCAACACCATTTGTGCTGTTTTATGCAAGTTCAGTGAATCGTCTTTGTTGCGTAATTGATAAAATTAAACTCGACATCAACACAACATGAAATTGATTTTAATCAATTGTTTTATACTCATTTGTTTACAAAGTAAGTATTATCTATCATCATTAGCATAGAAGTTTTTGGGAACAAAAAGCTTAATATTTTCTGGTGTTTCAGATCAATTCTTAGCCAAACCAGTTCCATTAGAAGATGGTGTTTTACTTCTACAAATTGCTGATAACTACAGTGCTCCATTGGTCGCTTCGTTTCTACATTCAAGAATAGAAAACACTGTTAAAATGGTTGAAGAGCTCAAGAAATCTCTGGAAAATTTAAGTGAAAATCAACGGAATTTGTTTATTTTGAAAGTAAAAAGTCTTGAAGCCTTGGACAAACGGTTAAATGCATTACAAAAAACGGATTATTTTGCCATCAATGGAACTGAACGAGTTAAGTATTCAATTGAACAATACATTTTGAATAATGAAATGTTTCCAATTGAATTAAGACCGGAAGAGGGTAAATTCAATTCAACTCCAGACTATTTACTCAAACAGATCAATGTTATGTCCAATGATGATCTTATCAAGGAAACCAATAACCTTATAAAAGCTCATCTCCAAGACATTGAGACGAAGGAATCCAATGAAAAATATAATGAACTTCAAAAATTGACCGCTTCGCTAACTAAACGTAAACTAAATCCTTTAGTCAACTTTAAATATAGTGATCCTGTAATTCAAAGAAATCATTATGGAGATCAAACTAGCATCACTGATAATCGTCCCTCTCAGATTGAGTCTGTTTTGAGACAATTCAAAAACATTTTGGACCTTTTTTATCCTCAATTTGAGAATCTGGCGAATCAAAGTGTGCCACCAGCTTCACTGAAACCAGTTAATTCCGAAGTTGAATTAGGGGCGTTGAGGGCCTTGAAAATTTTTCAATAAATAAATAAATAAATAAATGGTCCTCTGTAAACAGTAGATTCAACAGTAAACAGAAGTTCAAGTTGAATTACAAAAATGTCTTTGTAAACCGAGTTAAACAATTCATATTTCAATGATTAAAATAATGATCTAAAGAAATGAACAAATTATTTTCAATTTAATTTTATTTAATTCTGTAAAGATTCAATAGATGTAAGCTGCAAAGAAAATCTATTAGAATAAAATCATCATTGAGTCTTGGAGTAACCTGAGTGATCACTTCTTATTGCCCCCTCGACTACTGGCATAAGCAGCGCTGTTTGGGTTCATTTGGTTTGCGTGATTACCAAGATCGCTCTTGGTTCCAGTCCCTGCGTAGCCTGAAATTGAAGTTAATACAGATGTAGTTAGATGACAACGAATAGTAATAATGTTGAGTTTACTCACCAGCATTGTGGCCTGGGCCACTTGGGGCATGTGTAGGATTGCACTGGTTGGTTCGGTTTGATTGATCCATTATATTTGATTTTTAAACAATGATTTAATTAAGCAGAACAAAGAAATAAATTTCAACTGTAGTTGATTTGAAGTCTATCGATGTATTGATACAAAGTATGGCCCAGACTTGTCTTTAAATAGGAAAATTCATAGATGCTCATGAATGCGCAGTTAAGTGATTCCATTTGAACAAACAAGAAACACGTTCTAGCAATATGGCCTGTTATCTTCCTAAAATAGATTTACTCTGTGATTTAACTGTTCTCGAAGTCTCTAAAGGGTAAAATTGCTTATTTTTGTTATTCAATGCAGAACGTAATGAGTTGTAAGAATGATTAGAGTGTTGATTAATGCTTATCATGATCTATTTGTTTTTATATGAGTCATTCTTTCATGTTCATCTGAAATATTAGCTTTGACTCTTCAGAAACCTATTCAATTACTAATCAACCTTAGCATGAATTTTTTTCTTACCATTATCCATTAGTTATTGATAATATTGTCGATATAACTAAATGGTAAACAATTAATCAGCAATTTAACTCATCTCCTCATGTTTACGGATCCAAAATGTTTTCAATTACCATTTTCCAGAAACTAAAGCCCTTCACCTACAAGTCTTACTAGTCTAGTTTAAATAGTTTAGTCTATCAAGTTGAAAATGATGCTATTTTTATATCCATTAGTTTATTAAAACACGATTGGATTACTATTGATAATGATAGCGCTTGTAAGGATTTGAGTTAACCAAAAGACTTTAGCTAACTTGTAAGATTTAATGTTTTGTTTTTGGTTGTATCGTCAAGGTTTGCCATCAACTCGATCTGCACTATTGGAAGAGGCCAAGTGCTGCGACTAATAGTTGACCGATACGGTGCTCCATTGTATCCTTTCTACGTTCAATTACTAGACATTTGACATTAAGATTGAGATTTTATAAGGTCACCTTATAAGTTATAAGACAATCATAAATTCAAATACAGTCTAAAGGCTAAAGATTCAACGATTCTCCTTATTTTTAATCTAATTTTGCCTTGCCTTGATTATCATACAAGAATAAAGAAGGATCGACCCGTTCATCGATTAATCATTCCCCAACAGGGTTGAATGTTCAATCGATTGACTCTATCTTTAATCGGCTCGCTATGAAGTCTAATCAAATAAAACCTCTCAAATCAAGCTCAATAAACCTGTCTATCAAATGTTTCCAGTAAAATTGATAAAAGCGACAATTAATTTATTATAAATTAACCCTGATGATCCTTCATGTAGTTTGATTTCATAAATAAACAAATTTCTCCAACATTTCTGTTGTAAAAAGTTACAAACCAAGCCTTCCAATTTATAACGATGCAACTGGTATTTGACAAAGCTCCAATAATATTGTCAAAAATACTTTTTTCAATTGTTTTGATGTTAAATATTGCCGGGTTTGTCTGGCCGATAGTGTCTGTCGATGGTCTACAAATTGGATTAGGTGCGATCAACATTCTGGCTCAACAATCAAAAATCTCAACAGATCTCAAATGTTTATTGAAATCTCCAACAGAATCCAAAACATGAAAGATCATTGCTTACACATGCCCACAATGGAAGACAAGGAACCTAATCTTGGTTGGATTCGGTTCCTTAACAAGCGAATATCAGATAATCGATTCTGAGTTTTCTACTCGGATTCACCCAACTCTAGTAACCAGCTGGTTTATAGTTATGAGGTCTAACCCAAAACCTTTGAATATTTATACTTCATGTAGTTTGTTTTCAAAATAAACCATTTGTTTTGCTACAATTTTTGAAGTAAAAGCTACACACCAAGCTTTTCAAGTTGATAATAATGACACCGGTATTTGACAACTCTCCAATATTGATTGCAAAAATGTTATTCTCAATTGTTTTGATGTTAAATATTGCTGGGTTCATCAGGTCGATAATGTCTGTCGATGGTATACAAATTGGATTAGGTACAATCAACATTCTGGTTAACGGACTCACGCTGCTTGTTTTTTTTCTTGTGTAACAAATATTTCCTGTCTTCCTCATGGCCCATGATTTGTTTCATCTGTCATTTTCACATTAAAAGTTTATGTCCAAGATATGGAAGAAAATGAAGAAATGAAAAATTTAATCAAGAGGATGTTTTGATTCAAATATAATTAACCCTTTCTTCAGCAAAGGAGGAAAGTGTTTTTTTTGTTCAAAACATAACCCTATGAGAAATAAAACGATTAAGATCTACAAAAACAACTAACGTTAAACCGTTGATCAATCGTAAACACCATTAAGCTTGGCTTTTTGTTGATCGAAATCATTTAATCTGTTTAGAGTTAAACAATTAATCCATTCTGATGACCCCTTAAAGACAAAGGATAGAAAGGCTAAATAGGAATCACTGGACCAGACTAATTGTTGAAACTATAAAATTTGGTGTTTTCCTCTGTGGTTCACATGGTAGATGTCACCACTCCAAAAAGGCCAAAAACTCAACGCAATACTGAAGCAGTTTTTATTTTTAAATGATTAATGGTTGAACTATTCTGGTTGATAGACAAATCAGCTCCAATTTTTCAATTCAACTTTTGAGACTTTGATTCTTATAAACTCAATAATTTGAAATCATGATCATGCAACTCGTATTTGATTTGATTTGCGATTCGAAACGAAGAAACATATTTTGTCAAAGTCGCGAGAGTTGTAACCATACAAGCAAATAATCATTTGGTATTTCCATGATTAACTTAAAGATTCAATCAGTGAACACAATGAAACCAATTATTTTCAGTTTAGATTCCAATCAATTTTATTTTAAATTGTAAAGATTCAATAGATGTAAGCTGCTAAGAAATCCATAAACAAAAAAATACCTAATTGAATCTTGGAATAAGCTCATGTTCACTTCTTACTGCCAGCTCGACTACTGGAATAAGCAGGATTGTTTGGGTTCATTTGTTTACCATGATTATCAAGATCAGTCTTGGTTCCAGTCCCTTGGTAGCCTGAAATACAAGTTAATAATTGAATGACAACAAATAGTAATAATGTTAGCTGACTTACCAGTATGAGGCCAGTTGTGGCCTGGGCCAATTGGGTTGCGGATTGGGTTTCCCTGGCTAGTTTTGCTTGGAGGATCCATTATATTTGATGATCAAGTTGAACAATGATTGAATTAAGCAGAACAAATAGATAATTTCAACTGTTGTTAATTTGAAGTCTATCAACACAATTGGTACAATTCATGGTTCAGATTTGACTTTAAATAGGAAAATTCATAGATACTTATGAATGCGCAATTAAATGGTATCTGATTCAAGGTGATTAATAAACAAAAACACGTTATAGCAATATGGCCTGTTATTCTCCTGAAATAAATCTATTCTTTGATCCAATCGTTCTTGCCTTTAAAGGCTTAAATTGCTTGTTTTTGTTTTTAATTCAGAACGTGATAATTATAAAAATTATTATTGATTAAGTATTATCATGATCTATTTGTTTTTATTTGAATCATTCTTTCATGTTCATCTGAGATAGCTTCGACTCTCCAAAAACATAGCGAATTGTAATCTTCTAGCTGTCTTGATATACTGCGAATTTGCAATTTGCAATATCGTATTAATATAATTTTTTTCCCCGTTTTGCAAACATTTTTAGACAAAATAAACATTTCAAATACACAATACAAAATTAAAGCAATTTGCCTGGAAAAGGCGGATTACAATGTACTTCGATTTAAATGAAATTGAAAAGTTTAAGTTATTTTAGCTAATAACTAATAGTTTGGTTTCTATGAAACAGTTGGCGTTCATGTCATTCATGATACTCGATTTCATGATCTTTCTGCAAAATAAGCGATGAATAGATCAGTTCAACAAATAGTATGAGACAAACATACAGACATATTTGGCCAATATAGAAAAGTTTGATAGCAAATTCAATAACTTTCTTCTTTCATGAATAGGTGAAAGCTTAAGCTATTGACTATTACTATTCATAAATTTATAATAATTACAAGAAAAATAATATTTATGGATATATCGTAAAGCTGCAATTCGGTAAAGGGCTAAGAAAGACGATTGTTTATTTACTTTACGTCATTTATTTATCCACAGTTTAACCATTTAGTTGATTAAAAGCCAGATAATTAATGATTCCAACCTATGATAACCTGCAATTTGATGCATCGAGGCAATGAAAAACAAAGATTAAATTTACAATTAAGTTTTAATTAAGTTAATTTTTAAGTTTTCATCAGATCAAATGCAAGTTTTAACTGGTATAGACCGCCTTATATGGGAAACCTAAGTAAGTTACGCTGATGTGAAGGATTTCAAAACGTTAATTAATAGTTTGTAATTTTTTTTACAATTTTATAAATAGTTCATGAAGCAGCTATTATTTATTCACATCAGTTTTGTTATTAATATTGTGTTTTGCTGTTAAAAAGTTTGCTATTGCGAGTAAAATGAATATATTTCAATCATTTGTATGTAAATCCAACATTGGATTACCATTGATGTTGATCGCAATGATTTTAGGTAAGTATTTCAGTTAGTGAAGACTTTAGTCAAGATCTAATGGATCGTTCCTGGTTTCATCTTACAGGATTCCCATTAAGTCAATCTGCACCATTGGAAGAGGCCAAGTTGTTGCGACAAATTGCTGAACAATACAGTTCTCCATTGGTTGTGTCATTCCTACATTCAAGGATCCAGAAAAATGAAGAAATGATCTCAAAAATTAAAAGCTCTCTTAAAGATTTGGATCAATTGAAAGTTGATGTCTTCGATTTGGCTGAAAAGACGCTTGAGTTATTGGATGAACAGTTGACCGCTCTGGAAAAGGCTGATTACTTTGTGTTTAATGGAACTGAAAAAGTAAAGTATTTCATTGAACAATTCATCATGCAAAATGAAATGTATCCAGTTGAGTTTGGTTCCTATGGAGCAGTTAAAGTCGCTGTTACTCCTGATGCTCTTTTGGAAGAATTGCCAGAAAAGACGAGCTTTGATCTGATCATTGAGACAAATAGATTGATAAAAACATACTTGACCGATATCGATAAAAAAGAGCAAAGCTGTGATAGCAATCGAATGCAAAAACTGGCTGCTTTCCTCGCTAGACGAGAGCTAAAATTGTTGAATAATTATGAGTATCCACAAGGCAAGCACTCTAATCTCAATGATGTTAATGGTCCTCGTAAAGTTGCAGTTGCTAAAGTGTTAAGAAAAGTAAAGACAATTGTTGACTTCTTTTACGCACAATTCAGCTATCTGTCTGATCCAAAGTCAAGCAACGAAGTGAGTGAAAATTCAACGGAAAAAGACAAAAAAACAGTAACACAGAGCACTACAACTGAAGAGTCTGACGTAATAATCGTTAATGACCTAATCAATTTTAGAAGCTTGAGTCCAAGAAGTGGTAGAGGTGGGCGAACACATTCATTCCGTCAATTTTAATCGATTGCTAATCAGACGATATCCAGCTTTAGTTACAAACTTCATTTGCATTTTGTAGTGAAGTCGATCTGTTATATTTACACACCTGTAAACTTTCGTCAGGTTTTGTCATAATTTTTCATAACATTGCCCAATGATGTCTCTGTTACCGAAATCTTTGCTCAAATCGTTTACGCGATAAGTAAATAATAAAAGCATTTCTTTTCAATATTGCTCATCACTAGCAGTTCATTTTTCAGTGGGCTTCCTTTGAAATATTTGCAAAACAGTTCTTGATATTCCAAATGATTTAGGATGTGGATTGAAATCAATTAGAAATAAAATTCACACAGAAATACATGATTAGTAATTTAATAGGTTTTTCAACACTAGTCTTATTATTTTGACTCTCAAATCTCAATCCATACAAGCATTATTTTATGTTTACTCAAGCTTTTAGCAAAATTTTAGAAGTCAAACTAACTATAGTTGCAGTGATTATTCGCCCGGAACTGATCGGGATTGTGGATTCAATTAAATCTTAAGACCTTTGTTATGGTAGCAGACTTGGTCTAACTAAAAAGTAGTCAACGATTCCTTGTCAGATCATTAAATATTGGTCAACTTGTAACTTTAAAATAATACAAGTTCGGGTTACGATTATCATTTGATATTTGTTATTGAAATATTCTCATCTAGTTGGCTTCGAGATTTACTTCAACAAGTAAATTTAGTCCAATTTAAACCTTTTTCGGTTATAAAGGGTCACGAATGAGTTTGATCATTTTGCTATTCATTTGAAAAAATACACAAAAAACTTAAGCTATTAAAAAACTGTTTACCACAATTGTTGATGTCCACACAGTTCAACAATTTGTCCGGCAATTTGAGAGAGTGATATTATCAAAGACAAATAGATTCACAAATTTTCCAGAAAACGAGATTTAGTTTTGAATGATGTTTAGTCAATTGTCAGGATGGTTCAATGAAAATGCGCGTTTATTCATTTGGCAATTCAGTAGATAAAACTAAATTAACCCTGTTAATATTGATCTTTTATGTAATAGTTTGTTTTCATAATTTTGTTTTGTTTTAATGTTTGCTTATTTCACATTGATTAATCGATCCTCAGCAAGATCGGAGCATTAATAGATTCAGATTTATCTTTAATCGGCTCGTTATGAGGTCTAATCAAAAAAAATCTCTCTAATGAAGCTCAATAAATTATTTTCAATTTAAAAAATTCAATTTTATTAAGTAGAAAAGATACAAGTTAAGCTTTAAAGGAATGAATTTGAAAGAAATGACCACTTCATGAATCTTGGAATAAGCTGTTGCTCATGTTCACTTCTTGCCACCACCTCGGCTGCTGTGATAAGCCTGGTTATTGGGGTTTCCCTGGTTAGCATGATTACCAAGATCACTCTTGGTTCCAGTCCCAGCGTAACCTGGAATTTAATTATTAGTTAATAATTGAATGACAACGAATGGTAATAATGTTAAGTTGACTTACCAGCATTATGGCCTGGGCCACTTGGAGTGTGAGAGGGGTTACATTGATTAGTACGATTTCCACGGTCCATGATGTTCAATTAGGAGGTTCAACAATGGTTAGATGAAACAAAACAAAGAAATAAACTTTAAACTGTTTCTCAAGTGAGGTTGTCGATGTATGATACAGTGGATGGTTTAGGTTGACTTTAAATAGGAAAGTTGATCGATGCTCATTCATTGGGAGTTAAGTGAAAGTGATATCTAATGCTTTTGAATGATGTAAATAAACATAAATAGAATTAATTGATTTAGTTAAGCTATTAAGAAGTTATTAGACTTTGAGTCGTAGACGAAACTCGTGTTTATCTCATGGCTTCGAAATGCTGTGATACAAATTTAATTAACCCTTTCTTCAAATCAAAGGAATTAAATTACTTATTTTTGTGATTCTATCCATAGCCTTATGAGATATAAAACGATTATGATCTTCAAAACATCGTTAAATCGTAAACATTATTAATCTTGCCTTGATGTTAATTGAAATCATTCAATCAATTTGGAAGTTGAAAAGGCTGATTAATTACATGTTTACTCATTATTTTTTCATTGCTATAAAGATTTACTACTTTTAACACCAATCGAAGTCAAAAAAGGCCAATGTAAACAGAATCAACAGTTTTAGTTATTAAATAACTAATGGTTGAATTATTCTGGCTGATAAGCAAATTAGCTCTGATTTTTCAATTCAAGTTATGTACACGTTAATTTCATTATTCATTGGAAATCATGTAATATCAAATTTAATCACCATCTTTAAATCAATGGCACCTGATTCCAGAAAAAATCAGCAAGATTGTGGTGTTTTTTCATTAAATTATCGCAAAAGTGATCTGAGTTCGGGCAATTTCTCTAATCGTTATGAGATCCTCCTTAGGAATTATTTTCGGTATTTCAGAATAAATTAATCAATTGTTGTTCCTAACAAGTTATGGATCAAATGACTTTTGCTTGAAGCAAGTCTATTAACATTAGGCTTTATTTGACTCAAAGCAATATAATCAAAAACTAATTCTCAATTTAAGCTCAGTAACCCTGTTTATCGCATGATTAAAGTGAATTTCAATAATTAAATGCAATTCCAGAAGATTTGCTTGGAAAAAGGCAATTCTATGCAGCGATGAGCTTATGATACAAATAATCTTATAAATATCAATCTGAAAGACATTGAACAGAAGGAATCAAATGAATAGTACGGGGTGTTAGAAAATCAACTAGACATGTTTGAACGATAATAACTTCGAAATTGCTGGGTCATTTTTTTTATTTTTGGTATCATTAGAAAGCTGAAAGTCTGACTTAAAAAATTCTGTTTATTTTCCAAGAGGAAAATTCTAGGCCGAACAACCAATCCCAGATGATGCAAAAAATTGTGAAAATTTTAGGTGAAATTTGAAGAAATTTTTGTTAATTTTACTATGGGATGAAAATTCAATAATAGAGAAAATTTTTGCTAGATGATAAATTGAAATAAAAAGTTAGAGCATATTTTTTGACATGCATTCAAGAATCTTTTGACCCTAAAAAGTAAGAAAAATTCGAGTCCGAAAGCAATGAAAAATTCGAAAAACCAAAACAGAAAAAAATTTAGTTTTCGTCCATTTTTGAGAGCTAAATTTATCGAAAATTCTTTTTTTCATTCTAATATGTTTTCTAGTCAAAGACGATTCCAACAATATATCATGAGTCTGTTTACTCTGCTTGGTCCGAAAAATATTGAAGCGCAAACAGGTCTAGTTGATTTTCTAACACCCTGTATGACTGACTGCTTCGCTAACTAAACGTAAATTCAAGCATTTAGTTAACTTTAAATATCGCAAACCAACTATCGAACGTGACAATAACGGAAATGATGAAAATGATGTTTGTCCGGCTCAATTGAATCTGTTTTGCGACAATTCAAGCCATTTTAGATCTATTTAATCCTCAATTTGCAAAGATTGTCAGTCAAAGTATCAAGTACAAAGTCAACTTCATTGAATTTCAAATACAAAACTCAAGTTGAAGCAAAATCTAGAATCATAATCTCAATTGAGTAGTCTCACTAGTCCAAGTTGACAATCGTTGAAACCCAAAGTCCAAAGTAACTGGATCCAACTCTTTATTGATTCAGTTATTAACCAGTTTCAATTCATTTTGAACAAAAACAGTTTCAGCCTAACCATTGTGAATTAGTTTTTAACATTTCATTGTTTTTATATGAATCATCATGAGATATTTTCCACTGTTTATTTAATCTTTATGCTACAACTCGGAGCATAATTTTTTTTATTCCGTAAGTATCATTTTCAATTGAACCGATCTTTTTTATGTTACTCATTGCATGATTAGTGTTTCGAAAACATTGAATCGTAGCAATTTCACTGAGCCTAAGAGATCTTACATTATCTTGTATTATGATAAGCGAATGAAACCTTTAATTACTCGAACCAAAGTTATGACTTTTAATAATCAAAACTCAAATATAATTGAAAATCATGTATTTGTTCCTAATTTGATTAGAGAACCATTCAAACGAAAAATCATATTCTGTAAAAGTCACGAGAGTTGGCATTGAGGATACAAGCAAAAGACCATCTTCTGGTTGGTCAATGATTAACAAAATGATTAAATTTTCAATTCAGATTCAATTCAATTTTATTTTATTTTGTACAGATTCAATAGATGTAAGCTGCTAAGAAAATGTATGAGAAAAAACCGCCTCATGGAATCTTGGAATAAGCTCATGGTCCCTTTTCATCTCCACCTCGGCCACTGTCGTAAACAGAATTGTTTGGATTCATTTGGTTTGCATGATTACCAGGATCAGTCTTGGTCATAGTCCCTTGATAGTCTGGAATTGAAGTTATTAGTTAAATGAAAACAAGTAATAATGTTAAGTTAACATACCTGTATGCGGCCTGTTGTGGCCTGAGCCAATTGGGGTTTGGGTTACGTTAAACTGGTTAGTTGTGTTGGAAGGATCCATTATATTTGATTATCAAGTTAAACAATGATTAAATTAAGCAGAACAATGACAAAATTTGAATTTTATCGATGTATGATACTGTGCATAGTACAGATTGACTTTAAATAGGAAAATTGATAGACACTCATGAATACGCATTAAATGATATCTGATTGTTGATTATAAACAAAAACATTTTATATCAATATGGCCTGTTATTTTCCTGAAATAGATCTGATCTAATCGTTCTCACAGTCTTCAAAGGCTTAAATTGATTGTTTTTGTTTTTAATGCAGAACGTAATCAGTTATAAAAATTATCATTGATTAGTGATTATCATGATCTATTTGTTTTTATTTCAATCATTCTTTCATGATCACTTGAAATGGCTTCGACTCTCGAAAAAGCTAATGAATTACTGATCAACCTGAGCATGAATTTTTTTCTCAAAAGTGGGATTTGAACTTTATTGATTAAATTATTATGTTTAGATATTTAATGAATAGGGTTTGATGAAAGTTAACCAAGAGCTCATAGATAATGAAGAGCAAGGCGCGAAAAATGCAGGTTTAAGTGACAACACTTATGAAAAATAAAATGTTTGATTTGAAAATTTCAAAAAATTCATTTGAAAATAACATTGTCTGTGTATCTGATCATTCGCTTTTGGTCCAACAGAAGGTAACGCATTCAACTTTAATTTCAATTTCATAAGCAACTCACTAATTGAAAATTTAAATGTTCAGTTCAATCTACAGTAAGGTTGAGATAAAAAATAAAATCGAAATGATCTCACCTGGTCAATCACTTGTTGTCCTTTGTATTGGTCAATTCTATGTTAAATGATAGTAATTGTAAACTCAATAATTTAAAATAGGAATAGAAACCTTAATAATGTGTATTAGTCAATGATCATTCAATTAAAGATCCAATGCAACCTTTACTTAAAAAATTAACCCTAACAATCTCTGTAAATAACATGCCGTGAAAATAGCAATGGTAAACCTTTTGCTCTTTGATTATCTCACATTCATGCTATGGACCGCCCTAATATGGGGGGATAAGTGAATCAAATTATGCTGATTGGATGTGAGGGATTTTGTAACGTTAAGTAATAGTTTGAAATTGATTTTGATAATTTTAACAGCATAAGACAGCTATTATTGAACCACATCAGTTTGATTATTAGTACATGGTGTATTGGTGTTATTACTGTTAAACAGTTTTCGATTGTGAGTGAAATGTGTACCTTCCAATCATTAGTATATAAATCCAAAATTGGACTACCCTTGGTGTTGATGGCGTTTATTTCAGGTAACCATTCCAGTTAACCAAAAGACTTTAGCTAACAATAAAAGATCTAATGCTTTTTTCTGGTTGTATACTATAGGATGCCCATCAATTCAACCTGCACCATTGGAAGAAGCCAAGTTCTTGCGACAGATTGCTAACCAATACAGTGCTCCATTGGTTGTATCATTCCTACATTCAAGGATCCAGAAGAACGAAGAAATGATTTCCAAAATTAAAAGCTCTCTAAAAAATTTGGATCAATCTAAAGTTGAGGTGTTTGGTTTGGCTGAAAAGACGCTTGAGTTATTGGACGAACAGTTAACCGCTCTGGAAAAGGCTGATTACTTTGACTTCAATGGAACTGAAAAAGTACAGTATTTTATTGAACAGTTCATCATGCAAAATGAAATGTATCCAATTGAGTTTGGTTCCTATGGAGTAGTTAAAGTCGCTGTTACTCCTGATGTTTTGTTGGAAGATTTGCCAAAAAAGAGAAGCCATGATTTGATCAATGCGACAAATAGTATGATTCAAACATACTTATCCGATATCGATGTAAAAGAGCGAAGTCCTGATAACAACCGAATGCAAAAACTGGCCGCTTTTCTGGCTAGACAAGAGCTACAGCTATTGGCCAACTACTCGTATCCACCAGATCATGATAACTACAATTATTATGATCTTAATAACCCTACTAAAGTTGCACTTGGTACAGTGCTGAGAAAAGTAAAGACAGTTGTTGACTTCTTTTACGCACAATTCAACCATTTGTCTGATCCAAAGTCAACTACCAAAATGATTGAAGATTCAGTGAACGAAAGTCAAGAGAAACCATCTTACCACGAGGTACGTTTGGGTGGCGTATCTCCGTGATATCTTTGTTCCCGAAATCTTTGCTCAAAAAGATGTTTGTGTCAAATCATTTATTAGATAATAATATTAATAAATTAATACAATGCTCAAAGAAGTTTTGAAGAAGCTTTCATTTCATTTCTCAGCTCTCTTGATAAACTTAATGACTCAAATATTAAGTACATTTAGTCCACCTTTTGTCGATCTTTTTAAATTTTAAATGATCGCGAATGATCGTGGAAGTAGTACCAACAGATAACCTAAGTTTTGAACAGATCTTTTTAACAGAAATGTAATCATCTTCCTCAATTAAGCGTTTAATATTTTTCTCAACTGCTGGATAATTGATCTCCATTGGTCTACCACCACGATGTGCATCTTGAATCGATTTTCGGCCACATTTGAATTCGTGATGCCATTTCTTCACAAATGAATAACTGGGAGCTTCATCGCCATAAACACTTTTCATCTCTTCGTATGTTTCAGCTACCGATGACTTTTTTCTCACAAAATATTTGACCACAGCTCTAAATTCAATACTAGACATGATGATAACTTTTTCCGATAATAGGTTACAAAACTTGTAAATGGTAGAAATAAGTTACAATTAATAAGTTAATAAAGAAAACAGTCGAAAAGTTTCATCGCATTGAGTAACAATATAAAGTTTCCCAGAATCTCTAGGAAAGAAATGTCGCCATCTATGAAAATATCATCAAATGATATTGAGCGCTTCCCTTGAAATAAAATCAAACGTATTTCTAATGGAAGACAAATCAATTTAATTGCTTAAAATTTCTCTTATTTTGGTTAAATGCATTCCTTTTTACTATTAAACAGTTGTTAATATCTCAAATGATTTCAGATGGGAATTGAAATCAATTAGGAATAAAATTCCTACAGCAATACATAATTAGTTAACAGCTTTTTCAAAAATAATCACTAATTCAATTATTTTAATTAATAGCAAAAACATTAAACAATAAACATTAACGATGTTAATGTAAACTCTTATCATTTATATTTCATGATGTTATTGAATATATTGCGTCACAAAAACAATATCTGTAAATAGCATAAAAGGCTGGACTGCAATTAATAATAGGAATAGTAATGGCTAAACTCTTCTTTGTTATTTAATGGTTTGCCAGTTATGGACCGCCCTAATATGTACGAACTTTGTTTCCAAAGGTATCTAATCACACTGATTGGATACGAAGGATTTCAAGACGCTAATAAATTGTTTGCAATCATTCTCGTTAGTTTAAACAGCTTAAAAAAGCTATTATTAATTCAAATGAGTTTGGTTATTATAACTATTTGTGTTATTTCTGTTGAACAGTTTGCTATTGTGAGTAAAATGAATATATTTCTTTCATTTTTTTGTAAATCTACAATTGGATTACCATTGATGATGATGGCCATTATTTTAGGTAAGCACTTTCGTTAATCAAACTTTAGTTATAATCTAATGGAATTGTATCTGCAAGGTTTGCCTTCAAGTCGATCAGCTCCATTCAAAGAGGCTAAGTTATTGCGACCGATTGCTGACCAATACAGTGCTCCATTGGATGTGTCATTCCTACATTCAACAATACATAAAAATACAGAAACGATTTCCAAAATTAAAAACGGGCTTGAAGATTTATCTAAACTTGATGTCTTTGGTTTACCTGAAATTTCGAATTTATCGGACGAACAGTTGCCTGCTCTGGAAAAGGCTAATTACTTTGATTTTAATAAAACAGAAACAGTAAAGTATTTGTTTGAAAAATTCATCCTGCAAAATGAAATGTATCCGATTGAGTTTGGTTCCTATGGAGTAGTTAAAGTGGCTGTTACTCCTGATGTTCTGTTGGAAGATTTGCCAAAAAAGAGAAGCCATGATTTGATCGATGATACAAATAGGATGATTCAAACATATTTGACCGATATCGATAAAAAGCAGCGAAGTTCTGGTAGCAATATAATGCAAAAACTGGCTGCTTTTCTGGCTAGACAAGAGCTACAGCTATTGGCTAATCACTCATATCCACCCGGTCAAAATAACTACAATTATTATGATGTTAATAATCCTACTAAAGTTGCACTTGGTACAGTGCTGAGAAAAGTAAAGACAATTGTTGACTTTTTTTACGCACAGTTTAACCATTTTGCTGATCCAAAGTCAAGTGAAAAAGTTAATGAAGTATTACATAGCCTCAAATATATTGCTAGTATCCACCAGATTATGATAACTACAATTACTATGATCTTAATGATCCTACTAAGGTCGCGCTTGGCTCAATATTAAGAAAAGTAAAAACAATTTTGTCTTCACATACAGTTCCACCTTATACTTATTGATAATAGTGAATAAAAACCTTTGTAATGTGTACTTGTGAATTTGAAATTGTGGTTGCAGTCAAGTCTAAAGTAACCTCAACTTTCCAATGTGGTTATGGATCTGTTATCGCGGTGTCTTGATATACAAATTAGTGTTGGCTATTCAAATTTAGATTTTCGTGTTGCTCTAACTATTTGTAAGTTTTCTTTGATGAGAACGTAAAATTGTAATTCTATTTTCAGATAAAAGAATTTTTTCATAAAGCTAAGCATTTTGCTATTCATTTAACCAGATTCACACCGTATACACACAAAAGTATGAGAACTGTCAACCAAAATATTTGATTTCGTTCATGCACAGTTCAACCATTCGTCTGAACATTTGACTGAGTTAGAAGAGGTTTGATAATCTTCAGTCGCTCATTCGATTAAACAATTTTCATTTACAAACATATCAACAAAATTTTCCAAAAAGACGAGACCATTTAAATCAATTTTGGTATTGAGTGATGTTTAATCAATTTTTAGAAGGGTTCAATGAAAATATGCATTTATTCATTTGTATATTCAATAGAGTTCTTTATCCAATCATAATTGGAAGAGACTTGAACGGCGATGAACATATCAGCCTTACAATGGATTGTCGCTTAAATAAGAAGACCAATCAATTTAAATGTTCAGTTCAATCTACAGGAAGATTGAGATAAAAAATCGAAATGAATCGAAATGATCTCACCTGATTAATCATTTGTTGTCCTTTGTATTGGCCAATTCTATGTTAAATGATGGTAATTGTAAACTCGATAATTCAAAATAGTGAATAAAAACCTTTGTAATGTGTACTTGTGAATAATCATTCATTCAAAAAATTAACCCAAACAATCTCTGTAAATAACATGCCGTGAAAATAGACTGCAATAGTAATGGTAAACTTTTTGCTCTTTGATTATCTCAAATTTTCATCCTATGGACCGCCCTAATATAAGAGGGATAAGTAAATCAAATCATGCTGCTGGATGTGAGAGATTTCGTAACATTAAGTAATAGTTTGAAATTAATGTTGATAATTACAGCATAAGAAAGCTATGATTGAAGCACATCAGTTGGTTATTGTTATTGGTGTTGATACTGTTAAACAGTTTGCTGAAGTGGAGTGAAATGAATATCTTTCAATAATAAGTTACAAAACTTGTAGATGGTACTTACAATCAATAAGTTAATAAAAAAACAGTCGAAAATTTTCATCACATTGAGTAACAATGAAAAGTTTCCCAGAATCTCTAGGAAAGAAATGTCGCCATCTATGAAAATATCATCAAATGATATTGAGCACTTCCCTTGAAATAAAATCAAACGTATTTCTAATGGGAGACAAATCAATTTAATTGCTTAAAATTGCTCTTATTTTGGTTAAATGCATTCCTTTTTACTATTAAACAGTTGTTAATATCTTAAATGATTTTAGATGGGGATTGAAATCAATTAGGAATGAAATTCCTACAGCAATGCATAATTAGTTAACAGGTTTTTCACCAATAATCACTAATTCAATAGTAATTAAACTCTTTTCTTTGTTATTTAACGGATTTCCAGTTATGGACCGCCCTAATATGGACGTCTTTGGATACAAAGAGATAGAATCACGCTGACTGTAAAAAAAGGATTTAGAAACGTTAATAATCGTTAGTTTTAACAGCATAAAGAAGCTATTATTGATTCACATCAGTTCGGTTATTGTTATTGGTGTTATTACTGTTGAGAAGTTTGCTAAAGTGGAGTAAAATGAATATCTTTCAATCATTTGTTTGTTAAACCACAATTGGATTGGTGTTGATGGCAATCATTTTAGGTAAGCATTTTAGTTAACCAAAGACTTTAGTTAGATCTTATGATTTGATTCTGGTTGTCTCTTCAAGGTTTACCATCAAGTCGATCTGCACCATTGGAAGAAGCCAAGTTCTTGCGACAGATTGCTGACCAATACAGCGCTCCATTGGTTGCCTCATTCCTACATTCAAGAATCCAGAAAAACGAAGAAATGATTTCACAAATTAAAAGCTCTCTAAAAAATTTGGATCAATCTAAAGTTGAGGTGTTTGGTTTAGCTGAAAAGACGCTTGAGTTATTGGAAGAGCAGTTAACTGCTCTTGAAAAGGCTGATTACTTTGACTTCAATGGAACTGAAAAAGTAAAGTATTTTATTGAACAATTCATCATGCAAAACGAAATATATCCAATTGAGTTTGGTTCCTATGGCGTAGTTAAAGTGGCTGTTACACCTGATATTCTGTTGGAAGATTTGCCAAAAAAGAGAAGCCATGATTTGATCAATGTGACAAATAGTATGATTCAAACATACTTATCCGATATCGATGGAAAAGAGCGAAGTCCTGATAACAGCCGAATGCAAAAACTTGCCACTTTTCTGGATAAACAAGAGCTACAGCTATTGGCCAATTACTCGTATCCACCAGCTGATGATAATTACCATTACACTGATCTTACCGATCCTCGTAAAGTTGCACTTGGTACAGTGCTGAGAAAAGTAAAAACAGTTGTTGGCTTCTTTTATGCTCAGTTTAACAATTTGGCTGATCTAAAGTCAAGTAAAAAAACAAGTGAAGTATCTGCTAACCAAAAACCTGAAATCGCGGTGGTTACAGAAAAGTTTCAAATAACCTCAAGTGTCTCAAGTGTCTCAAGTGTTCAATATTTTGAACCCAAAGATTATGATCAAGACGAGTAAAATAGTGGTTAATTTTTGGTGTAACACTTTCTTCACATCTGTGAACATCTTTAGTTTCAAGCTGTAAAATCTGGTCTTATTCTCTGGTCTTAAAATCTGGCCAATTACTCGTATCCACCAGATCATAATAACTATCATTACTATGATCTTAATAATCCTACTAAAGTTGCACTTGGTAAAGTGCTGAGAAAAGTAAAGACAATTGTTGACTTCTTCTACTCACAATTCAATCGTTTGACTGATCCAAAGTCAAGTATAAAAACTAGTGAAGTATCTGCTAGCCAGAAACCTGAAATCGCGGTAATTACAGTCAAACCTCAAGTAACCTCAACTCTCACATATGCTCCCAAGATTATAAGACCTCGGGTGACCTATTAAGACAATGATCAATTCTTATTAATGATTAACACTTTCATCACATCTGTGAACATCTTTAGTTTCGCATTGCAATATCTGGAGCTTTCTCAATTCTCAGATTTATTGATCGTTACTTACGCCACAAATATTTTTACCATGTATCGCTAATAAACTTGAAGTTTCGATTTTATCAGCCTACCTAACCCAAATAAACTTAATGTATCGGTATTATCTTAGGTTGTTAGTCGCGATCATATTCAATGTGGATTCAAATCAATCAGGAATGCAGTTTCTACAGCAATGCATGATTAGTAAACAGGTTTTCAAAATAATCACTAATGCATTTATTTTAATTATTAGCAAAAACAATAAACAATAAACGTTAACGATGTTTATGTAAACTCTTACATTTATATCTCATAATGTTACTTGAATATATTGAGTAACAAAATCAGTGATAATAATCATTTGGTTGATCGGAAGTAAAGAGCAATTACATTAAATTAAATTATTATTCAGTTATTGGCTAAGCCGAGACAATAGAGACACAAAGATTTTATTTGAATTAACGATTTAAGGGTTAATCGATTCCAATTCAGCCTCTATCTCAAAAAATTAACTAAAAGATAATATCTATGAATATTGATAGCATAGAAGGACTGGACTTCAATGAACGATAGCAATAGTAATAGTTTAACTCTGTGTTATTATTTAATAGTTTTCCAGTCAAGAACCGCCCTAATATGGTCGCAATTTGGATCCAAAGATAGCTAATCACGCTGATTGGATAACATTGATTCTGAGACGTTAATCAATTCTTTGCAATCATTTATAGTTCCAACAGCTTAAAAAAGCTATTATTGATTCACATCAGTTTGTTTATTGTTAATATTGATGTTTATACTGTTGAAAAGTTTTCGATTGTGAGTAAAATGTATATCTTTCGTTCATTCATTTGTAGATCAACAATTGGATTACCATTGATATTGATGGCCATTATTCTAGGTAAGCAATTTAGTTAACCAAAGACTTTACTTGTGATCTAATGTATTGTTTCTGGTTGCATCTTCAAGGTTTGCTTTTAAGTCAATCTGATCCATTAGAAGAGGAGAAGTTATTATCAAAGTTATTGGGACAAATTACTGACACATACAGAGCTTCATTGGTTTTGTCATTCCTATATTCAAAGAACAGGAGAAGTGCAGAAATGATTTCTAAAATTAAGACCTCTCTTAAACATTTGATCAATTGAAGCTTGATGTCTTTGATTTGTCTGCATAGACACTTGAATCATCAGATGAACAGTTAACTGCTCTGGATGAGGCTGATTACTTTGATTTCCACGGAACTGCAAAACACAAAGTATTTTTCTTGAAAAATTCATCATGCAAAATGAAATGTATCCAGTTGAGTTAAGTTCTTATGGAGTAGTTAAAGTGGCTGTTATTCCTGATGTTCTCTTGGAAGATTTACCAAAAAAGACAATCCAGAATTTGAAAAATGAAATAAATAGTATTACTCAAACATTTATACCGATATTGATGAAAAAGCAGCGAAGTCCTGATAGCAGCCGAATGCAAAAACTGGCCGTTTTTCTGGCTAGTCAAGAGCTACAGCTGTTGACCAGTTACTCGTGTTCACCAGCTTATAATAATTATTATCACACTGATCTTACTGATTCGCGTAAATTTGCATTTGTACAGTGCTGAGAAAAGTGAAGAAAGTTGGATTTTATTACGCACAATACAAACATTTTTCTGATTCAAAGCCGTATAAAAAATGTTCGAAGTGTTAGATAGTCACAAATACATTATTTGTATCCATCAGATTATGATAACTACAATTACTATGATTCTAATAATAATACTAAAGGTACTCTTGGTACATAAATAAAAATAATTAAAAAATAAAGACAATCATTAACTTCTTGCACGCTAGCCCAATCTTCGTGATCCAAAGTCAAGTGAAAAAAGTTAAATACCTGCTAACCAAAACTCAAATCGCTGTGGTTGCTGTCGAGTCTAGAGTAATTAAATTAGGAAAAAATCAAATGTATAGTTTATCGTTGATATAGTTTCAAGTTAAACGATAAAGATTGTATCGAATTATTGAATAGATTCAGTTCATATATTATAGATTATTTACAGATTATAGATTATATGTAAAGTTAATTAAAGCATTGCATCCTTCAAATTCTTAGAAAATGCTTCAATAAGTTCAATACTTAAGCCTTTCTTTTCGCTATTTAGGCTTTCTGGTTTTGGTTTTGAGTGATGTTTAATCAATTTTTAGAAGGGTTCAATGAAAATATGCATTTATTCATTTGTATATTCAATAGAGTTCTTTATCCAATCATAATTGGAAGACACTTGAACGGCGATGAACATATCAGCCTTACAATGGATTGTCGCATAAATAAGAAGACCAATAACCTCTTTTTCCCCTGTTAATGGATCATATCTAAATATTGGAGCTCCTCCATCACCACGACAAATCTTTGTGTGATATGACATCGCACAGATTATTTCATTACCAGGCCTCACCTTAAACCGTTTAACACACTTCTTATTTTCCAGCAATTTTATTTGAGCCAATGAAAGTTTCGTGGTGAACTTCCAGTTCCTTGTGTATCCCCAAGCAGCCATGATAAGGAAATCGTCCTCATGAATTTCATCATTGGTCAAATTGCTCAAAGGCAAAGCCTTAACTCCATTCACTTCTGCCACCTTTTCGTTTAGTTCAATCAATCCAATATCATGATTTAGTTGCTTCATATTTGGATGAACAGTCTTGTTCCGTGCACCATAGCGTTTATTCTGGTCGGCAGGTGAATGAATAGTGTCATCATAATTGGGCTGAATCGTCAAACTTTCCAGATCTTTTATCCTTTAAATAGTAGATTAAAATGGGAAAAAAAGTTAAGCAAATATTAACCAGTTTAACGTTGCAATTGTAAATTAAAATTAGAATTATTTATCAGTTGATTCAAGTAACAATCGACTCATTTTCTGGATGAAAATCACACTTACCCTGATAAACAATGGCCAGCTGTTAGAACAATTTTATCCGTAATCAAAACTCCAGTGCAAATATGAAGACGATTCATTTGTATGGAGACAATGAAGGATAAAGATGAGGTTGGCTTTGGTGATCCATTTTCAGCGACAGGGAAATAGACGAAGATTATCAAAAGGCAAATCAGATATCGATTCAGGAAAAATTTCATGTTGAAATGGGTTAATATTGCCTTATTACAGCTATAATTTATCACTAATTTGATTTAGTTTAAAGCCATTCTAAGGAATCAACTGAACTTCATTTGGCTACATCAATAATTCAATTTGGATTAACTTTAAAACATTATGTTGCCATTTATGTAAACTTATTGGTTTTTTTTATATTAAATTTCATCCAAATGTTAATCATAATAATCTTGGAATAATACTGAACATTTAAAAGTGATAGAAATTGAATTTTCTTAGCAAAAAACAAAATGATTTGTAATCATTTGAAATATCAAGTTTCAATTTATGCAACTTCAGTTACTCATTGAACTAAGGTTATAATTTAATTTGAGTAACGAGAAATATCAACAACTTGACTGTTCGAGAATTGAAAAGCTTACGAGATTTTGAAACAAACAATCAGTTGATTTTTCTAGTCAATGTTAGTTTTAATTTTTATATTATCTTGAACCAAGGTTCAAATAATGTCCATTGAAATGTATGTCGAGTTGTTGAAAGTATGACCGAGACAATGATTTTGTTTTTTCGTATTTTACATTTAATAACCTTTTCAATCAAAATAAAGGTTTGTTGTGACCTTGAATACCCGATAATTACAATAATTATTAACAAAGCTTTATTGAGCACAGTATTGAAATCAAATCTGGAATTGATCATTCCAGTTATTGTTTCAATTCTGATTAGTTTACATAATACTTCTGGTTTATGAACCATCATTTGTCCAAGTTTGATCTAGATGTCGATAACTTGCTATCAGGTCCAACATCCTCAGTCTCACTGGCATCAGCATCTGCAAAGGTGACGCTGACTTCAGACACAGATTTTGATTTGGTGTTTTCACTGAGTTTAGATTTGTCCTTTTTCCCCTTTGATTCAGAATTATATTTCATTGAATCCTTGAGTCCACAGCATGTTGAAGCAACACAGCTTAAATTTCGAGAGCAGTTTAAAATACAGCCGTCTTTGAAGTTGAAGTTCTGTCCAAGAAAGAAAAAATAGAGAATTAATAAAAGAATAATAAAGACATTGAAACTGTAATAAAAAAAGAATCTTATTTGAAGAAGTTTTCATCAAAAAATCCATGTCAATGTGTACATTCATGGATAGGAATATTTCCTTGATAAAGTCTCGGTTTATGGACGCTAAGCTCCTTGAACTGATTTAAAACTAAATTTCCCATTATCATATCTCGAGGTTACTAAAAACATCAAATGACATTTTACTGTCAAAATTTAATTTAAATATATCAAAGCAATTCGTAATTTTGCATTTTTTGATGACTAACTCTGAGCTGAATTATTTACAACAATCTGGATGTAACTTGACCGGGTAAATGGAATGCCGTTGATTTCTGCCCTTTAGTTTCTCTGTCCTCTGCAATGTTTTCCCAATAAGTTCAAATTAAAGGTTCTTACCTCTAATTTAAGGTCCACAAATTCAGGTTGAATTGTTGTTGAATGAATTCCCTTGTTATGGAAAAACTCTTTAACCTTTTCAGCTATTCTCATGTAATCTTGTAAATTTTGAACTTGAATATGAGCTGAAGCTATTATGCGATCACCAGTCAATTGCCAAACATGAAATTCGTGGACAGCCAAAACACCTTTGATCTAGGGAGAGAAATGATAGAAAGATGAAATAAGCAAATCTAGTAAAATGATAAATGGCCAAAATTAAGGTCAGAGTTAAAGTGATTGGTCTTTGAAAATACCTCTTTAGTCAGGGTTTCCCGTAGATCCTCAACTTCAATGTGTGTGGGTACTGTTTGAAGTAAAATCATTGCTGATTCGCTCAGTAATGGCCAAGTACTGTACATGATTAAGGTAACCATCAATATAGAAAGAGTTGGATCAACATAATCAACGATTGACCAATCAGTAAACATGATGATTAACGCGGAAATGCAAACAATTACAGAACCCAGAGCATCGGCCAAAATGTGTAGAAAAACGCCTCGAATATTCATCTGGTCACTTGATTGTGGAGCCTTTTTAGTTGGTTCATCTGTGGATAGACAATAAATCAATTTAATGTTGATATCAGCTGACAATTTACATGCAAATATGTACTTACTTTTCTCTTGGCCGTTTTCACCTCCTTCAGATTCATCATAATCTTTATGATTTTTACCATGAGAGTGACCACCAGCACCTAGAAAATTAAACGTAGAAATTGTTACAAAATGAAGAAAAATTTGATTTTAAATTATTAAGATTAATTATTAATAGAAAGATGAAATTCCCATTCAATGGAATCTGTAACTTGCAGTAAAACAATAACAAATAACTGAAACTGCAAGCAATTTTTCTCACATTGTACCGGTAAGTCTCCATCTAGTGAAAATGGGTTTTAGAAAGGGGCAGCACTTAAGATTTACAATAGTTGATGTAAGGATTATACAAGCTAAAATGTGACGACTGTAAAAATTGGTTTAAATGTGTAAATTTAGTACAATTTATCTTATGCTATCGTCTGTTTTGATCACATTTGAAACCTTGATCATGTTTTTTAACATAATCATGTTCAGTGATTGATTGCTTTTGGATTCATCGGAATGATGTCGAGGTTACACTGTCATACATTAATTATGGATGAGTTCACAGTGTCTTTCAGTGATTGGATTGTATAATAGATTTACAATTGTCGTTGTCAGGTGAAACTAAAAGTTATTATACATGTAATATTATGTATTTCAAGCAAGCTTAACCTCTTCATGGATGATGAAAAACTTACCATGGAAAAGGATTAAACCAATTATATTGACAATCAAACCAGCTACTCCAACGCCTAAAAGTAGACTAGGTGCGTGAAGCTCTTCTGGATTGTAGAAACGTTTGATCGATTCGACAAAAATTGAAAAGCAAAGGGCAATCAAGAAGACAGCATTGACCAAAGCTCCTAAAACTTCTGCTCGAGCCCATCCAAAAGTGTTTTTGACCCACTCTTTGGGTGACATTAACACTGAGACATAGGCAATAATCAAAGCAATCACATCGGATAACATGTGAAAGGAATCGGCAATCAAAGCCATAGAATTGGTGATATAGCCAACAATTAATTCTACAAAAAAGAATGTGATTGTTAAAATTAACATGAAAAGCAGTCTCATCCGAGCTCCTTTATTATCAGCTGTCATATTGATGGCTTACAGCAATTTAACCAGTTCAACACAAATAATTTTTTAATATTCACATTCAGATTATCACTGAATTATTATGTAGCTTGAAGTCGAACTTTGATGGTAAACTTTGAAAGGCAATGTATTACTACTACTACAATGTAATACTAAGAGTCGAAAGAATCAGCAGCAAACACTTTATCAGCACAATAGAGATACAAATGATAGAAAGAAATTACTGAATAGTTGAACATAGTAAATTGAAATTTCCAGTGACAAGTTGACCATGTTTCACTTGAAAGAACTTTGAATAAATAGAAAAGCAAATAATCAAGATCACCTTTCTACAGGTAGATACATTTATAACAACAAAAGTAACATTTATTGGAGAAAAATAAACTTAACAGGATAAATTTTTCGTCAAAAAATTATCATTTGAACTGAACAGTGAAAAAAATGCAAAAACATAGTTGGCGCCTTATTAGGTAACCAACTATGTTTCTGCATTTTTTTAACTGCTGAGTTCAGATGATAATTTTTAGGTGAAAAACTTATCCTTTTAAAATCTGACTTTGCCATTTGAGTATTCTCATAGGTTAGATTAGATTGTTTAAATTTTAATTTCTTTAGATTTTGACTAAAATAAAGTGAAGCTTTTCAATAAAAATACCTAACCTTAGTCGACTTTAGTCACCCTTAATCGACTTAATTGTCTTTTTAGCCACTTAGTAGAGTGTCGGCTGACTACGATATCTAAATCCTTTCATTACCTAAATCTTAAGCGCTGTCAATTTCTGAAAGTCATTATCACTTGATGGAGACTGAGAAAAAAAATTGCTTTAACCGGGTACTCTAGTGTAATATTTCTTGGTTTCAAAGAGTATAGCTATTACTCTTTGCTTGGTTTGCTTTCGATAAATTTTTCTTCTTTACTTTGGATCAGCTAAATGGTTAAACTGTGCATAAAATAAATGAACAATCGTCTTTACCAATTGCATCTTTACGAGGACCATAAACATTTTGAGATTAGTTAATATACCTTGGTGGATACAGATAGTCAATAGCTTAAGCTCTCACCTATTCATGAAAGAAGAAAGTTATTGAATTTGCGTCAAAACTTTTCATAAATTGATTATTGATTATAAGATTGAAAAATTAGTAAATATTCACAAATGAATATTAGATTAAGGTAAAAGTTTTTACTTGAATAATGGGAACATACAGCTTCAGCCAACTTCCAGGTTGTTGCATTTATTTGGTGAGATTTATCAATCTCAATGTGGTCAGCATGTAAGAAACAAACAGATTCATTTCTGGAAGGAATCGAGATAAAAAATAAAATGAAAATTCATTGGACCCATTCGTAGATGAATGCACAATAATATTACAATAACTTTACGAATATCATTATTAATGATACAAGTTTCGACTTACCGTTTATGATTATCTTTGCAATAATCAAATGATTTACAACTGAAATCATTTGCAAGAGCACATCTTTTAGCACAATCAGCTATTGGTACATCAGATATGGTTGAGATAGCATCCAGAACTAGACTTTTTCCAGGATACTCATATAGTTAGCGAAGCAGCCAATCTTTGAAGCTCATTATATTTTTCATTCGTTTCCTTCGTCTCAATGACTTGGAGATGAGCTTTTATAAGGTTATTTGTTTCCTTGATAAGATTATCATTGGACATAATATTAATCTGTTTGAGTAGATCGTCTGGAGTTGAATTGAATTTACCCTCTTCCGGTCTTAATTCAATCGGAAACATTTCATTATTCAAAATGTATTGTTCAATTGAATACTTAACTCGTTCAGTTCCATTCATGACAAAATAATCCGTTTTTTGTAATGCATTTAACCGTTTGTCAAAGGCTTCAAGACTTTTTACTTTCAAAATAAACAAATTCCGTTGATTTTCACTTAAATTTTCCAGCGAGTTCTTGATGTCCTAAACCATTTGAATAGTGTTTTGTATTCTTAAATGTAAAAACGAAGCGACCAATGGAGCACTGTAACTATTAGCAATTTGTCGAAGTAAAACGCCATCTTCAATGGAACTGGTTTGGCTAAGAATTGATTTGAAACACCAGAAAATATTAGTTTTGGTTCCAAAAATTTCTATGCTAATGATGATAGATAATACTTACTTTGTAAACAAATGAGTATAAAACAATTGATTAAAATCAATTTCATGTTGCGTTCATGTCGATTTCAATTTTGTCAATTAAGTATTAAAGACGATTTACTGAACTTGCATAAAACAGCACAAATGGTGTTGATTTGATATCTGAGGAAACAACAACTTGACTAACATTAAAAATAACAGCTTGAAATGCCTTTCATCAAGTGAGACTCTAGACAGCCAGACGATCTCAAAAACAATGTAACAATAAGTATAATATACCAGAGGTAAGCAAAGATTATAATAAAGGGTGTTGCGTGTTATTCTCGGCAGTTATCTTATCAAAATGGAGATTAAACAACTGATAGAGATGAAAATGTCCAATGGAAATCTTAAAAATCACCATTCAAATAAGATAACTGCCGAGAATAACGCGCAACACCCTTTATTATACTTTTTCTTTGTTATTACCTTATCTTCACCTTTATTTTAGTGAAATCTAAAGTGATTTACTATATGCACAGGTTAAGCCAAGAAAGCTGTTCAAATGTTAGCTAAAGTGTCCTTTCCAAAATTTTACAAGATTGTTATTACGATAAAGAGAAGAAGGCGATCAATGCTGATAAAATCGACACTACATGAAGCATGGCAATGGTAACTACAAATAGACAAATAACTTCAGAAATGGTGACTTGTACAAAGACCTTCACAGATGTGGGAAAAGTGTTGCACCAGAAAACGTCAATTGTTTCCATAACTGGATAGATTTGGACGGTTAGATTTAAATAAATTCAATTTATTTACATTGATTTTCGGCCTTTGGATTCATATTTTCGTTGCCATAGGTTTAAAGTACACAGCAAGTGAAATGTATGAGGGACAATACAGGAGAGTTGATGAAACTAGATCTTGTTGAAATAGAATTAATTTCAAATCAGATAAATTGTGTACAGTGATCAAAATGAATTGCAATCTCTATGATTGATAAACGAAGAGAGAATTTGGTCTAATGGTGTTCAATGAGAAGCATTTATCCACAGAGTAGATAAAATCAAATAATGACTTTTTATTTTGATAAGTTGCAAAATATACTGACTCTTGTATAATCAACTTTATTTGGCAAATGAAAGGAAAATTTGCTCCAATGAAGTTCCAGTTAAAGTAAAATCTTCGATCATTAATGAACTTTTTCCTTGTTCCAATGCGCGTAGCATTTCACCCCATCGTGCTGAAGCATTCTTAACATGGTAATGAAGAATAGTTTGATGAAAATCGCGTAATATAGCACTTGGAAACTTTTCTTTGATAAATTTTTGGATTCTCGCAACTTCGCCATCTTTTTTCAAGGCTTCTTGATTAATTTTGATAAACAAAGTGTATCCTTGACCAAATTTTTGTTTCAAATGTTGAGCTGAGCCTAAATGTTGAAATTGATTAGTTTATTAATAAAAGTGAATAATGGTTTGAAAGGATGTTCATTGCTTGAGATTTTACATTTACCTAAACATTTAAAGTTTCCTCTTGCCATTATACCAATCCTAGAGCATAAAGCTTCACATTCATCCATAGAGTGACTAGTTAATACTATTGATGAGCCACTTGTATCACGTAGATGCATTAATGTGGACCAAATCTTACGTCTTGATGCCGGATCAACACCAGTAGTGGGTTCATCCAGAAACATAACTTTAGGTTTAGCTATAGCAGCAATTGCTAATGATAATTTCCTCTTATTACCACCACTTAAATTTTGGTTACAGGTGTTTGTGAATCGAGTTAGATCAGTTGATGTGATTATATAGTTGACGTTTTCTTTGACTTTATTTTCAGGCATTCCTGTAATTTAATTGACATGAAATCGACATGAAATATCGTAGCAGTACTTGTATGAGAACGTATGAAACTTACCTCTTATTCGAGCAAATAATGTCAAAGTTTCATGTGGAGTCAGTTTGTCGAGCAAAGCGTCGAATTGTGGACAGTAACTTATTGACTGTTGAAAATTCAATAGATCTTTTCTCAATGAATATGATTCAACAAAAGCATCGCCTTGTGTGACCATCAAATCACCAGTCAACATTCGGAACGTTGTCGTTTTACCAGCTCCATTGACACCAAGTAATCCAAAACATTCCGCTTTGTTAACAGCAAAACTAATTTTATCGACTGCTCTCAATGAATCAAAGTCTTTACTCAATTTATTAACAACCAAAGCTTCAGAGTTGACCCTGCCTGATGTTATCAACTGGGCAACCCGATATTTTTCAGAAGCAACATCATCATCTTCGACTTCACCTTGAGATTGATGAGAAGATGATGAACTATTCCCCATTGAATCATACCAATAGTGAAAGCGATGTAAATTAGTGTCATATAAGATTAATATAAGCATGTATAAAGCTGAAGCCAGAATGAGTGCCAGAATTTCAGGTAAAATTCCATCATTTTCCCATGCAAATGGTTCAAATTTTTTATATTCCAAATTTTCGTCACAACAGACATCACGAGATATCGCATTACCAGGATCACAGGCATTATATTTATGGCATTCTAAGATCAAAGTCGTGTGTGAATAAACTTTGGACAAACCAAAGGACATAGCAAAAGGCGGAAAAAGATTTCCGACAAATAAATAAAGTAATTTAATTTTTTCACCATCAAACAAAGTTGCAGCTAAACCTGAACCAACAAGAGTACCAATCAGTGAGATGGTTACTAACAATGTAAATCCTCTATCAGGTTCTATCGGTAGAAATGAGAATAAATAGAACAATGGAATCGATGCCAAACCGTAAAATAAAATAAGTATGCAAACAGAAACTGTAATAAAAAGAAAATGCCAATCAAAACTCTTCAATTCATAAATTGTTAATTAAAAATTTACTTACGAAATATGTCATTGCTCGTTAAAAGAAAGCTATCAATTAGCGTGATTCCTAAAACAATCATTACTGACACAATAAAATGGTAAGAAAAGTCGAAAATAATGTGACTGAACCAGAAAATTGGAGGTTTGATACCACTCATTTTTTGGATCAAATTAGCCTGTTGGATCAGTAAAAAATTATCAATTAACAATGGCTTTTATTGTTGTATCAGTCTTGAACAAATGCAAACATTGAAACATGGAAATTCCAATGATATTTCTCATGAAAAATGAACCATTTGTGCCTTGAAATCAAAGAGTAATTTTAGTAAGTTCTGCGACTCAGATGCATCGAAAGCTGGAAAAGGTTTGTAGAGATTTAGACTATTTTTGGAAATCTTAATATTTGTGATTTACTACTTCAATTGAGCACAAAATACTTCATTTCTTACCTTATTTGCAGCTTCAGTGGATGGAAATAGGAAATATGATGCAGAAATCAAACTGAAAGCAATTGGTGAAAATAATGCTGACATGATACGAGCCACCGTGGAGAGTGTTTCTGGTTGGTCTGAGACTCGATTAGGAATTGGAAAATATTCGGTAACTACTTTGGACATTGATCTAGTTTTATTGCTGGTCCTAATCAAAGTATTGGTCCAGGCGTCAACACTCAATGGGAAAGATATTGATGCTGCTGGATTGTACCAAACAGTGAAACCTTTTAAACTTTTTGGGTCTTCGATTATGCCGATAATGTTTTCTCTCATGAACTGTTCTCCAGTTTGTTTACTTTTTTTCATGTAATCATCCATTGACAAAGAAGATTTAATTTCAACAACTTCTATTCCCGCTTCCTTCATGATGGTGCGATAAGCTTCAATGAAAGGTTCACTTTTTTTGAATGAAGCTCGAATAACTGCTTTAGCATTTTCACCATAAATTGATTTCAAATTTAAATCGATTGGATACGGATAATCTTTGTATGTATCAATAACGTAAGATTTTAGTTTGTGCAGAGCTATAAATGTTAGCAATATAACCATGAATGGTAAAATAATAGTAAATCCAATGGTTTTGTAATGTCTTTTAATGTAATGCACACGTTTCATTACCAAGCCTCTGAGTCTTTGAAAAGTCAATGAAAATCCTGTCAATTTTGTGTAGTCAAGTATCTTATTAATTTCAAATAATCTATCTTCCATCTGAATATTTGTTTGTCTTTTTTCATTATCATCTTCAGCAACCTTCAGGAAAACATCTTCAAGAGTTGTAACGGAAATACTATAAGAAGTGATACCAAGAGTTGACAAATTGCTATCAAGATAATCACATAAGCTAATCAAAGACGAAGTTGACTTTTTGTCCGATCCATCAGAATCCAGGCTAAGTTGGCAGATAACTTGTTCACTGTTTTCACTCGTAACAAAAGCATTGGGAAAATGCAATCGTATTTGCTGATCTAAACGATTCAGCTCAAAGGACCAGGCATCTTTGGCTACTATAATTGAGTTGCCAGCTCCAAATCTACGTTTCAAAAACATGGAACTTCCCGAACACTCGATTTTACCCGAAGCCATGATAATAATACGATCTCCTAAAGCATCAGCTTCCTCCATAAAATGTGTTGTCAACAAAATGGACAAATCTTTCCTCAACTCCAGTAAAAGATTCCATAACTGACGTCGAGATTCTGGATCAAGACCTGATGTTGGTTCATCAAGGATTAATGTTTCACAGGCAGTTGTTAGTGCCAAGGCCAATTGTAGACGACGTCTCATACCACCCGATAAGTTGGAAGCCAATGTATCAGCTTTATCTGTTAGGTTGACTCGTTTAATATTCAATGGTATTATATGTTTCTTCACTTGCGGACTTAAGCCTCGTAATCCAGTAACAAGCTCAAGATTTTCCCTAACTGTGAGATCTTCAAAAAACAAATCAGACTGCGGACACAAGGCAATACAACGGCGAGCTGTAGCAGTATCCTGATGAACATCTATGCCGTTAACCAAAATTTTACCCGATGTAGGCGGGAGTAATCCTGTTATCATTGACATTGTTGTCGTTTTACCAGCTCCATTGTGACCGAGAAGAACAGTTATTTGACCTTTATAAATATTCAAATTTATTCCATTAACAGCAAACTTTTCATTGCCCTCCGACCCAAATGTTTTATACAAATTGATGCACTGGATAGCGGTTTTTAAGTCGCTTGGCTCTGCTTCATTTTTATCAGCATTGCCATTGATTTCATTCAAGACGTACGATTGTGTCATTTCAGCAAGACTTTCATTATTTGTTGATTTTCTCATGAATCGGGAAACTGGAAAATACCATGGCTTTGGTATTCCAGTCTGCCAAGGCCAACAAGCATCTAAGTACCAAAGCAAGACAAGGTAGGCTAACCATGCTACAATAGCTGTCAAGTAAATGGATCTAAAACTGATAGTATCAGCGACATTGAGTGAAGAGAACAAATCTGACCAAGAAACTTTTCTATTTGCACCAAAGTAAAAAATATCGTAAAGTGAATAATGAAGTTGACCTTCGGGAAGAAAACATGACCATATTTTGGGCGAAATCCAGAGAAAATTAAATTTAGCTGTTTTAGCATCGAATGCTAAAAAAGATAGTCCAGCACGGCCTACAATTACAATCAAAACACCAATTATCGGATGAGTCAAAATCGTTGAAAATGCAAATGTAAAAAGAATGTTGGATACAGAAGCGAAGATATAATTGAACCAAAATAGACCTGCATTCCAACCAGGATACGGATTATTGTCAGAAATGGAATACAACATTGTAATGGCAGTTGCATGGAAAATACTCAAGAAGTAATAATCGATGAAATGAGAAATCCAATAAATGAGATCAGATAATCCCATTATTCTTAGTAATTCCTTTGAATTTGTTGCTTTCTCTTGAATAATACGACGAGCTATAATAATTGATACATAGAGGAAGCCAACTTCGAGAAAAGCATAAGCTTGATAAAAGTACTCGATATCTGGTGATTTACCGGGTTCTGCAGTTCGATCATAATTTTCATCTGGATAATGCTCACTTATTGGATTACCTTCGTCAAACAATTTGTCTGTATAGGAATAACTGAAATTGCCTGCTGTAAGCTTTTCTTGGTTCGGATAAGCCGCCAATAGTATGTTGAGTATTGACTGGAGGCTCACATAGGTTTCATAGGATGGTGGGATGAAACTATGATACCAAGGTCCAGGATATACTAATCTTCCAGTGCCAATTGTGTAGTAAGCGATACCTTTATCTAGATCAAGTTGATGAATAAAAAGAGCTGGACTTGTCCTAAGTATGGTTTCTACTGAATCACCCCAATCTTTCATCAAATCATGTTCACTTTGTTCAGCTACTGGGCGAAGTCTGCATTGTGAAACAGCTGGACTCAGAAGGTCTGAAATATTCCTGATTTCTGAATAGTAAAAGAGTTGTTTAATGAGCGAACAGGAAAATATACCTTCATTATATATGTATCTATCCGAATACGGTGACAACGATGACAATGGCATTAGTTCAGATTTATCAGGCGATGAATAAAGATGAATACTAACCATTAATATTGGTAAAAACAGTTCAAATAATGTGACAATCCAATGTCTCTTTCTTATAAGCCAGTCTTTTTTATACATGGCTTTCAACTGTTCCCAAAGTAGAGATGTCATGTTGGAATTCACCTCACAAATAAACTTTTGATTTTTTTCGTGTGACTAAACACTTTGTTTGATTGTTGTGATCATGAAAGAGCAGATAATGTAATTAATCACTTGAATGAATGGTAGTAAAATAAAGCGAAAATGATCAGCAAATTGAAGTATAATAACAACTTGGTGTTTGGTTAACTAAAACTGTAAGTAACAATAAGGTTTTAGTATTTATATTGATTAAAGATATCTTTTGATAAACAATCAATAATTGGAATAGAAATTTATTTTTGGATCATTATGATTACTTACTGCGGTGGACTTAATTTTTGGATGTTAGCATAACATGTAACATTTAACAGTCAGACTTGCACCGACATTGAAAAGCACCTCCCGATAGGAAGAGTTGAGATAAAACGTTACACTCTAACGAGTAATAGATTAATTGATAATTGAATCATCGATTCTTAATAGTTGATTGATAAAAAATAGGAGTAATTGGTCAATAACTGTAGCTCTTGTCTAGCCATAAAAGTGGCCAATTTTTGCATTCGATTGATATCAGAACTTTGATGCTTTTCATCGATATCGGTGAAGTATGTTTGAATATAAAGGTTTTTTCGTAGAGTTCATTTTTCGGTTCATTCAAGCTTATTCATTTCCATTTACTTCTTTATTGTTTGATGTTTTATTTCAATACATTGAACCGAAGGTACTTTTACCGAAGTATTTCAAATATCCACAGTTAATTTTCCTACTCCTTGAATTCAATATAATTTAATTTTCCTTTTCTCTGTTCAGACCTCCTCTGTTTTGGCTTTGGCTGTTTTGACCCTTTAACAACCAACAAAGTTGTAATGTGAATGCAATGTATTTTTACCTTTTTTCGCCCTTTTGTGTCAATTTCACGGTAAATTCACCAGAATAGCGTCAAACGAGTTGATTGCTTTCTTTGATGGTAAAGCTTGAAGATACTTGTACTCATTCATTATATCAATTTCAATCCCAAAAAGTATAGTTATCAGATAGTCATTTTTCCTGGAATTGCTTTCAAATTAATGCGAGTGCAATGCAGATTGAAGATAAGATGTATTAGATTGCCCGGTGCAAAATGGGGAAACTTTGGTTTTTAATTGAGCTTTTTTTAAAATAATGCTAGAAACTTCAAAATTGGGCTCAAAATTATACAATTTTCAATTTTTGGACTAAAAGACAAAAAGAAACATAATGAATCCAGTTCCTTTGCCAGATACATTATTACACTCGTATGATGGACCTTGAAAATTCAGGTGAAATTGGGACTTTGATTGCACAACAACCTTAATAAACATATCTTATCATATTACATCCTTTACAGTTTAAGTACAAAAATGAAACAAAATGTATTGTTTGTAATATTAGTACGATATGAGTTTAGCGTCGCAATTAACAATCTGAGTAATGATTTATTGTGTCGATAAGATTTGATTGCAAGCAATCGAACGAATAATCTGAGGCGTTAATGTTATTTTCAAATGTTATGCAATCAATTTAAAAGATGGTTTCAATTTACATTCGCGCTATTTTCAAACACACAATTTCAATTGAATTTGTTACAGTTGCGCTACCAAATTCGCTGAAAGAAATTAGTTATTATAATGCTTTTATTTTAGTTTTAATTTTATTTAACATAAAGAAAATGAAATAACTATTGAGTTAACACGATGGCCGTCTCTTAATTAGGTTGGATTACATCAACTGTAAGGCTGGTTAAGGTGAGGAAACGTCCGGTTTGAGGTCTGGTTTACATTAAAATTTTACACTTTAGATCGGATGCAAGTTTTGGTGAGATTCAAAGTTGTTTCAAATGAGATTCATCAGATGTGGTTTCACCGTTCACTTAAAATGTATTCAGATTAAAGTGTTGAGATTCACTGTTCACTTGGCGAGATTCACTGTTCACTAAATGTCACTTGAGATTCATTTTATTTAGCACAAGTTAGAGTTGGAGGTATTTTACCATGTAAGATCATCAATTGAATCACTCTTTAAGTTAATAGATAGGTCTGTAGGTAATTGTAAATAGAAAACTAAGTTGATCACCACTACATCACAATATATTCATTAGTTAAACTCAAATATAATCTGGTCACATCGGAACAGGGCTTCCGCGGGGTCCTAAAACGGCAGCCAAACAAAGGATTTGTCGGCCATTTTATGTACCGTGAGGGAGAAAATCTTCTCCCTCACCAAAATGGTCGACCCACCAACTTTAACCAATGATGGCCTTTCCCTACCTACTTGAGGTAGGGAAAGGTAGAAACAAAAAAACCAGTTTAAAACAAGTTGCCTTTCAGTTGACCGGGGCACCAAAAGAACGTCCTCGTTCTGTAAAATAAGACTAAAATAATGATTAATAATGCGAATAGAATAAGTTTTACCAATCATTAATGGATAAATTGGCGTTGACCATTTTTCTTATGGTCTCAGAAGTTGGGACGCAATTGATATAATCGGCTAATTTTAAATACTCCATATATCCTCGTAAGGTCACTCGAGCATCTCTTTCTGGTGAATGTCCAGCGATGGTGTTCGTTGGATCATCACGTTTTAATTTTGGTTTCTCAGGGAAAAAGAATTTATCAACATAAGTTAATCCTAACGGTTGTTGACCAGGCCATAACGATTGCAAATCATTCCAGATGATATCATTATCCATTAGGTGAGTCGGAGTAAATTTTAATAATCGTAAGTCGCCATCTCCTTGTGTAATTACTCTTTTTCCTCTTAATATGTTAAGGACGGTTGAACGGACTTGATGAAAAGGTAGACCTGTTGCTAAATCGATAGGTTGCATTCCTGTGATTTTGGTATTTGAATAAAACGAATTCTCGGACTTAACTTCAGCATAATAAATTGTTTGAATTCGAATTATATTTCCGAACCATCCAGATATGTGAATATTACCAACACCTCCACTTCCATTTCCTTCCATGTCTAATGATAAAGTAGGCAAAGGTGGAGAACCAATTGGTTCTAATTTCTCTAGGATTCTCGGGTCATATTTTCCGGGTATCCTGTACCAAATATTTCCTGTAAATTCTCTTCTCAATTTTCGTCGAAATTGTCTTCTTTCTTCTCTGCGGACGTTAACAGGTTTGATAACAGGTTGGATGTGTAGAGTGACTTGGCCAACTCTTTTAATTAGCTCTGGACAGTTTTTTCTCAGGTGTGTGTTTTTAGAGCAAAAGGAACAATTTTCACACTTAGTCTTATGGTGGTCTGGCTTAAAGCATAAACTGCAATGGAATAAGGGAATAGGAGTCAATGAAATCCATCGAGATCTTCCTGTTTTCTGCTTAATTCTTTTAGCTATCTCTTTAATTTCTTGAATCAAATAATTGTGTGCTCGATTTATTGCTCCTTTTGTATGTGCAGTTACTGTTAATTTAGTATATTGATGCATCTTGGGAGGTGTACCTGACATTTTGCATCCTTCTATCTTTTTCTTAAAAACTCCATAACTGTTGACGAAATTCCAGGCATAGCAGGACAGGATTAAATAATGTTGATAAAGTACAATAGATTTCTTTTCATTGTCGCCATCTGAGTACTTAGGATTTCTCCATCTCGGCTGATTCCTCTCCATCCTGTTAGATAAAAGAGAAGAAAAGAAAATGATTAATCAGTCCCAATCACCGGGACTTTTTATTTTATGACCCATCTCTGGTCACTTTAAACTTAACCCAATCACCGGGCACTTAATTTTATTATTTCCCTTTTTTTCAACCCAATCACCGGGTATTTGTGTTATTATTTTTTTTTCAGCCCACTCACCGGCTTTCACTTTATTTATTTAATTTTTTTTTTTTGTTTTATCAATAGAATTTATCAAGTTTTTTTTTTGTAGCCCAATCACCGGGCGTTTTCTTTCTTTTTCTTATTAGTTTTTGTTTGTTTTTTGTATTTTGTGATTTTTTTTTGTTCAATTTTATCATTTCCCATCACCATAATTATTTCCCAAAATTTATTTTAATAGCATTTATGTAAAGGTATCACTTCTGGTTGTCTTTTGTCTTTTGTTTTATCTGTTCTGTTTGTTCTGTTATCTCTCTCATCGTAAACTATTGAGTATACTGTTCGTTTTGGAGCGAACATAAAACGTACACTAAGAGAACATAGTAAAAAACAAATGGTTACTAGTAGTGAAATTGAAATCCATTTAACATAATCAAATTTCCAAGTAAGAGTGATTTTCTCGAAACTAGAAAGTACTTTCTCATGAGCTGCATCTAGAAGTTCAAATTCTAATGTTGGTATATTGATTTCTTGATAAGCTGGTTGAAACAGTTTTAAATTAATTGCTTGAGTATGTTCCGTTACTCTAGGACCTCTAACGTAAATGAAAAAATTGTTTGAAGTATACTTCATGTCATCAATACTGAAATTGGTATATTTTGATAGTTTGATAACCTGATTCGGACATGAATAGCTACCTGAGTATATTTCAATTTTATGTCCTGCACAATGAATCAAATAATGATCACCCATATTTTTAACTTGGATTTTTTCAGCCACAATGGTTTCATTTACGTTTCTAGATACACAATGCTCATCTCTCCAGAGCTGTGTTTTATTAAACTTATTTGGGCAAGTTGACACTTTGGTGAAAATAGGGTTTGGTGACTTCAACTCACTTTCCTCAATGTCACAGAACTGGTATGTGGTGGTATTTACTAATAGGTATTCTGGTCCTTTGTATTTAATTTTACATGTATGTGTCGCATTGGTTTTATATAACAAAAATGGGTCCGCTTGAAAGATTTTTGTAACCTGGTCTTGCCTAAAGGTTGTGAAGTTCAAACTTAATATTGGATATTTATTTTCATTGTGAACTTTTACTGAAATTTTTTCAATCACTGATAGGTCACAATCGTCACACTGCAGATTTATTTTTAGAGACTTGAAGAAGTTACGATCTATTGTTGGTCTTGATTGTTTTATACTGTCATTGAATTTTTGCATCGTCATTAACTGAGTATTTGAACCAGTTATGACATCAGCTGCTTGGAAGGAAACAACCGGTATCAATTTTTTTATCATATCAATTTGTTGTTGTTGTTCATTCAGGAGTTTTGTAACGTTGACTAAATGGTCAAACTGTGTTTTCATCGCTTTTTTGTATT